CCCTTCCACTCAGAGCAGTTCTGCATGCAGCAAGCTGGTCTCTGCTTCTGGGCCTCTCTACCCGCGCTGCCACCATTCCAGCCTCTGCTGTGCTCTCCTGCAGCCTTGCAGCCGTGCCACCATGTTGCCCAGAGCACTGGGCTGAGCTCTTTATATAGAGTCAATAACAACGTATTGCCCACACATGTGTAGTGAGCTAGCCAACCAGAGCCAGGTGAGAATCCTGGCCGTAGGAACCTTCACTTTATCCACACAAGGCAATCATCTTTGTTAAATATTTCTCTATTCTAGAACTACTCAGAACACTTTGTAAATCAACATGCTTCCTGCCCCATGTAGCAATAAACCCCATACTTAGTGAGCCTGACCTGTGCTCCTTAACTTAGTAATCAATAGCTGTTTTGAGGCTACATGGGCACATTACAGTAATGCAATTCTTAAGCTCTTTTGAAGAAACACATTTTCTTTATTATCTAATGGAATCGAGTGACATTATGTTCATATTACAGATAGCTAATTAATTTTGATAGGCAAATTATGTGTCAGATCTCCCTCAAGTTCTTTAAATTCAGCTTGGCTATCACCTCCTTTGAGAAGCCTTTCTTAGTCATCCCTAAGTCTACATTAGGTGCTTTTTCTCTGTATTTCTCTCTGTTCTAACATACATTATCAGCACAACTTCTCATCCCAAACTTTTCTTGTCTGTTTGATCCTTGTTTTGACTTTGGGCTCTTTGAGAGCAAGGGCTGTTTTTTTTTTTTTAATTCCTAGCATCTGAAACAGTATAATCCCTGGGATGTGATTTTTTAAATGCATACAAGCATGATAAACCTTAATTGTATTTTAAAGTACCAAATGTTGCAATAGCTCCTTTACATAACCACGAAAATTTATGTGTTTTTTGCAACTTCCTGTTCTGATCTGGTCTGAGGAGGTTTAGTTTTTCCTTTTTTGTGAAATTTGGTAGTATTTAAAAACAATTCTGAAAGACACAGAATACTGACTTTGATTTATTGCCTCCCTCCAGATGGATAGAGCGATTACTCATGTTACTCGTGTAAGCAACATATCACGGGAAGCAGGCATTTGCTTTGACGTCAGCTGTCTCTCCTACCTTTAAATGGCAAACACCTTCCCTGGTCAGTGTCCTTTGCTAACTTTCTCTCCTCTTTCTCTTCTCAGACAAGTTTCCTGAAAGAGGAGTTCTATTTATTGTCTCCAGTTCCTTGCTTTTCCCTGACTTCTCAGCCCATTACATTTTGGCTTCTGTTCCTACCTCTCCAATGAAGCTGGTCTTGCCAGGGCAATTTATGACCTTATGAGTCCGCAGAATCCAAGAAATGCTGTATCAGTCATCTCTGCTACATTTGACCTAGTTGATCATCCTCCTTGAAAGTCTGTTCCTTGTCACTTGTCACTAGTAGTACTGTCACTACTTTCATCAGCATTTTAAGTCTGGCTGGTTTTGTTTGTTTGTTTAGTCATTTATTCCTTCTTTCAACAAGTGTGAATCGAGTGCCACTTCTCATAGTCCTTGAGGCTATGGCAGTGAACAAGACAAATACGATCTCTGCTCTCGTGGAGCCTACAGTCCAGCTAGAGAGAAGCCATTCATTCACTTAACTCATCAAATGTTTATTAGTGCCTCCTGTTGCTATTGCTGTGCTTATCAGCTAAATACATAATGATGTAAAGTGTTTAGTTATGTAATTATTTAATCTCAATGGTATCACATGCTTTAAAGAAATACAGGAAGCTATGAGAACCTATAATAAGCATACCTATTCTAGTTTGGGGTGAGGGAAGGGATCAGCCAGCGAAGAGTTCCTTAAGGTAGGAACATTTAATGGAAGCTTGAATTGGCCAAGGAAAACACCTGGTTGGGAGTAGGGGTTGGCAGGGAAACAGGGAGAGCTAGTTAATTATTGATTGCCCTGTTACTTATAAAGTTATCAACTGCTGTAGCATCTTAAGAATGAAATTCTGCTCTTATCATTTGCCATGTACTCTCTGGCTGAGACGTGTAGACTCTCTTATTGTGGCATTCACAGTCGTGCTTCTCCTTCCTGGCCAGTGGTTATTTTGAAATCTCTATCTGCAGAACCAGAGAGGTTTTTAGTCTTGATAGGAAATTAGGATATATGCATGAGAGGATAAATAACAATGTAAGTTAGATGTCAAATGAGTGGTATAGTTAAATATTATTGGAATTCAGAGAAAGGCACTCTCTCTGAGACATGGAGTGATTGTAGAGTGAGGCTTGAATTGCAGGAAGAGGGAGGCTCAGAAAATCAGAGAAGAAAAGAACCAGGCATGTCCAGGAGAGAGCAAAGGCAGGCAAGGGGGATTCAGTGTTGCAGCTAGGTGTGTACTGTCGCTCGTAGGCCTAGACAGAGCCTGCTTTTGGACTGGCTCCAGAGTAATGCGATAGAAGATGAAGGCGACCTGGGAAGGATGTGAATATCAGGCAAAGGAACTGGGACTTTATTGTTTGGGCAGAGAGATGGCATGCATAGAGCACTGTTCTAGAATAAACCTGGACAAGGGGTTCTGTAATTCATTTTGACAGCTGTTTACAGAGCACCTCCTGTGTGTCAGTGGGAGAGTAAAGAATGAGTGAGTGAGAGAGCACTTACCTAAAGAACCTAAGGACTTGTGCAAGATCATACTGGGGGTTGGGCGGGGAAGGGGAGGGAGGGGGAGGAGTCAGGGCTCTCGCCGCCCCAACCCCTCAGGTCTTAGGGGTTGGCAAACTATGGCCCACAGGTCAAATCCATCCAGATACATGTTTTTGTAGAATGGTTTTTACACTTTTAAGTGATTTTTAAAAATAGAACAGTATTTCATGATACATGAAAATGGTATGAAATTCAGATTTCACTGTGAATAAAGTTTTTTTGGAGCACAGCCTTGCTTCTCCATTTATGTATTATCTATGGCCACTTGCACATAGAGTAGCAGAGCTGAGTGGTTAGAACAGACTGCGTGGATCACAAAGCCTAAAATATTTAGTGTTTGGCCCTTTACAGAAACCTTGTCCACCCTTGAGTCATACCCATCCTTTTCTCAGTTCCTCTGTTCTCTGAAACTGCATGTCCCTCTTCCTACCTGAGGCTTTTCCCACCACCCAGGCTTTTAAATAGCCTTCTCTTCTTTATGTTCCTCCCCAGATCCTCAGTGTCTGTTTCTTCAAGGACTTTCTCCTTCCAAATATGCTCAAGATCTATCCTACTTAAAAAAATCAACAACCTCATCAAGTCAAAAGTCCTCTCTTGCTGCTGCTCTCTTGTCTCTATCTCCACTTCTCCTTTCAGATATTCACCTTAATATAGATGTCAGACCCCAGCAGACTTAAAGTCATTAGTGAATTCCTAGATGCTGGATCCATAAGTTTCCCCAGTCCTTGTCTTCCTTGTTTTCTCTGACATTGAACATTCTGATCATTCTCTTTTCCTTGAGACCCTTTTCCTATTGGCTTCATTCTCTTTTGCTTCTCTTCCTTTTTTCCCAGCCCTTTCTTCCATTCACCCATCAGTGGCTTCTCTTATTTTACCAGTATCTTGAACTTTTGACTTTTAGGGGTCTATCTTTTGTCCTTTTATAGGAGCTATTATTTTATTGAGTATCTATTATATGTCAGTCACTGTATTTAAATGCTTTATACAAATTATTCCTAATCCTTACAACACCTTAAAAAGATAGATTTTGTTTCCTCTGTTATAAGTGAGGAAAATGAGGCTTAGTGAGCTTAATTAATTAATTTCCCCAAGGTTATACAATAAGTGGCAGAGCTGGAGCTTGCACCTGAGCCTACTTTAGTATACAGATAAAGTCAGCTGTTTTGTGTACCTAAGACTCTGGCCATAAACATCCTTTTTAGCTTTCAGCCTATATGTCTGGCTGTCTATTAGACATTTCTACCTGGAAGTCTTGGCAGCACCTCAAACCCAATTCATCATTTCTCCTTTACCCCCCACCCAGCCCCAGCTTGGTAGTATGAGCATTTATTTAGTCTTCTGAGCCATAATCCTGGCAGGTGATCTCAACTTCACTTCTCCCTGACCCCTTCCACTCCTTAGCACCGAGTTGTCACTTCAGCCAGTCATTTCTTCCCCTTTAATTTCTCTGTAATTTATCTCTCATAGTATCCAGTCACTTCCCTGGTTCAGATTCTTCTCATCTCTGTCCTGGACTGTTGTCCCTTTTCTCTTAATTTCTGCCCCTTCATCTAGTCTCTTACCCTTCCACTCCATCCTCCACAAGGCTTTCAGAATGATCTCTCCTAAACCCCAGATCTGATTGTGTTGCTATCTTGGTTAAATCCTGTTGGTGGCTCTTTGTCCTGTTCCTCTATTCCATAGCCTCACTAAGAAGGCCTTGCCCTATTTTTCTAGATTCTTCTCCTCCCAGTCTCTCACATACTGCAAGTGTGGTTGGTTCACTGTACCAGCACACTCAGTTGACCTTTCCATGCAGTTCCCAAGACAATTCCTCTTTCTAAAATGCCCTTCTCTTGCTGGTTTGTCTGAGGAGTACCTTCTCAGTCAACCCCTAAAAAAGTAGACAAACACTCAAGCAAAAAAACCCTCAGTTAAGAGAGAATACCTTGGCTTTTGATCCTTCTCTGGTTTCATCTTCTGAGAGGGATTAGGTTTCACTCTTTGATGCTTCCTAAGCACCTTGGGCATGTAATGTTGTCTGGCTCAGTGCAGTGTTTAGTAATCTGTGTCCATCTGCCTCCTTAAAGCAGATATCATTGTTCCCTTTTGTATCTGTGATTTCTAGCTTGTGCTCTGGGACACAGTAGTTCAGTACTTGAATGAATACTAAATAATGTAGTTGGAGATATGGACTGAGGCTTTGGAGAAAGGTGAGGTTTAAAGGATGAAGATGTTTGCTAAAGCTGAAGAGTAGATAATATTAGCACCCTGATATGTACAGCATCAGATGATTTACAAAGCATTTTCACGAATATTTTATCTCATTTTGTGTCACTTAAATGCTCTGTGAGACAGGCAGGGCAGGCATTAATATTCACATTTTTAGAAATAACTTGAAGCTCTGAGAAATGAAGCAATTTCCTCAAGGTCTTGAACATAAGTGACAGATTTCAGTCTTCTCCAGGCAAGTCTAATGCTGTTTCCCCTGCACCTGTGTAGATATGGGAACATTTGGGATATGAGAAGTAAGTTTCGGAATAAACTTACATTTAGAAGGCAAGGGAAAGGAGTGCTCAGAGAGGAAGGTAAAGAGAGCCCCAAGGGATTACTGTGCTTTAAAGGACATGTTTTCAGAAGGAGAGGGCATCATCAATGAGATATTTTTGCAAATAAGTGAAGGAAAATGGGGAAGGTGAAAGACTTTGATCACCAGGAAGTGTAAGAGAATGATTTTGTACAGCGAAGCCCGCTTGCCAAATGGTTAAGAAATACATGGGCATTGAGGGAAGTGGAGGCACACTTGTATACCACCCTTCTAAGAAGTTTGGTGGTAAGAGGGAAAGCAAGAAGCTGACAGTTTGAGAAATGCCATACTGCCAGATATGCTGAGAAATTCATGATACATTTTGTGACTTGGAACTATGCAGTGGAAACTATGCTAGGGAAATACTGCTTGATGACTAAATACATAAATTTCAGGATGTTTTAGACTCAATTTAACAGTGGTCAGTTCCAATCAAGGTATAGTACCATAGGGTAAGGAGTTTAGTCAGGCCTTGAAATGAAGCCAAAATTTTACTTGTCATCTGTAACAGAATATGCTCACCTTTAGAGGATAGATACATATTAGAGCCTGAAAACCTCCTTCTTATATTCATTTAGAATAGTCACCTACTACAAGCTTATTTCTTCCCCGTTACTCATCATTTGTTGTCCAGGTGTGATGTGATCAATGGGAAGATTTCCCCACTTTGTTGTTAAAGGGTGTTTCCTGTGTATTTGTATTATCCACATCTGCTAGACCCTAAGCTCCAGCGGGGAGTTAGGCCCTGGGCAGCTCTTTTGTCCTTCTGATGAGGTGTTCTCTGTCTGCCAGGTAAAGCGGTACCAGTGCACCTTCGAGGGCTGTCCTCGCACCTACAGCACAGCAGGCAACCTGCGCACCCACCAGAAGACTCACCGAGGAGAGTACACCTTTGTCTGTAATCAGGAGGGCTGTGGCAAGGCCTTCCTCACTTCCTACAGCCTCAGGATCCATGTGCGAGTGCACACGAAGGAGAAGCCATTTGAGTGCGACGTGCAGGGCTGTGAGAAGGCGTTCAATACGCTATACAGGTCGGCTTCTTTCCCTAGCCTCTGACCCTGACTGTGGCATGACTGCAGAGTTCTCTCCTTGCACAGTACATGTGTGTACTTTCAGGGCTTAAAAGAGCACAGCAATGCTCAACTGGTTAAAATTCACTAAAAGAGTTTGTTGTTTAAAGATCGACATGGTTTGGGTTGGTTAAAGATGATAGTCATTTGTGTTTAGATTTGCATTTCCTGGAGTGAAATTCTGGCCTGGGGATTTTGGTATTTGGCTTAGAGTAATACCTCTCCTTGGCTCAGATCTTAGTACTAAGGCTTCTGTCATTTTCTTTCCTACCTCATCTTTTCTACTCTGAGAAATGGGAAGTGGCCCACTCATTAGCCACTTCTCTCCCACCATTTATATCAGGAGACATATTGGTCTTCAGCATTGGGCCTAGAATAACAAACATAACAATAGTTAACACTTATGAAGTGCTCACTGTGTGCTAGGTACTGTTTTGAGTGCTGATCCTCACAGTAGCTGACAAATAAATGGAAGCACAGAGAGATTTCGTAACTGGCCCCAGGTCCCCTATCCGGTAGGAGGTGGGACCAGGATTTGAGTCCCAGGCAGTCTGGCTCCAAAGTCACAGTCATCCCACCATGCTATAATACTTTTCTGCATTTTTCTTCAAAATTTTCTGGATACTAATGTTCTATGGATTTAGAGTTCTTATGCACGTGATCCTGAAGCTTCATGAAGCTGATGTGTAGAGGTTCTGTACTATAGTACTTTATGACAAAGGGAATTTCTCGGTAATATCTTGCAGGCTGAAAGCACATCAGAGGCTTCACACAGGGAAAACGTTTAACTGTGAATCTGAAGGCTGCAGCAAATACTTCACCACACTCAGTGATCTGAGGAAGCACATTCGAACCCATACAGGAGAAAAGCCATTTCGGTAAGCCTCCTGTTTTCTCTTTGTTACTGATTGGGTTTTAGCTAGGTGTTTTGATGTACTCTCAAATTCTTCAAAGTGGAAAGAAAATGTCTTCCTGTAGTTCTCTGGCAGTGTTAGCTCTGCCCAGGACAGCTGTACCCAACTACGGCAGGCAGGAGGAGTGGTGATAGATTCTAAGAGCATCCTTCTCAGGATGGTGGCCTCTGCCTCCTCTTGCCCTTTATTTGCAAGAAGCATTTGCTGAAACTCAATTATGTTGTAGGTACTTTTATCATTGCTAGAGAAATACTAAGACCCAGGCTTTCCTCTTGAGAACTTTAGTCTGATGGACAAGAACCATAGGCAGCCAGACAGGATCTGAGACTGAGGTGCGCAGGTGCTTTGAGCACAGGGGAGGGATACCTGCCTAAGATGGGAGGGGAGGACTGCAGGAGAGGGGATATGAGGGGAAGAATGGTTGGGCTGGTGGTGCAGGCGTTTTATTTTGTCACTTGTTCTCTTGTTGCTTTGTAATATCTCGTGTGTGTGTGCACAAACATACAGAAGCATCTGTTTTTATCTATGTATTTTAATTTCTAAATACACATGCATATATAATAGATACATATGTAAATGGATAAACTTGAAGGAAGGACTTGTATCATCTACTTTTTTCTGTGCTCATAACATTTAGCATTGTTCTGGGCATTTAATAGGGATTCAGAAATACTGTGAGATGATTATATAACATTTCTTATGAGATAATCAGTTTGTAAGGATTCTCCTTAAATATAATATTGATATGTGACTGAAAATTGCCCATAAACAATGTCTTTGAATTTTGGCAGGAGAGATTACTGTTATGTTCATGTCATTAATTATGCCACCTTCCCTTCTCAAATCATTCATCTCCTTATTAAAGAAATTTGAGTCTTTAGGGCTAGTCAGTTCTTAACACTGATTAAATGGAATTGTGTTCTAAAATTACAGGTGCATTCCTGAGTCATGGCGCATCTAAAAGCAGGACTGTTTAGATTCTAGTTGGTTACTCTCCAGGTGCTGTGGAGAGTGTTAGTTTTCCCTTCATAGGGCTGTTGAGATACTATGATTTCTATTCCAACACATGCACTTTTGTGATGATTAAAACTTAACTTTTATTGGCTCTCAGGTGGGACTTTAGACACAATGGTTATTTGTAATTAGAAAATAAAATTCTTTAGAGAGGCTGTCTATTTAAAGAAATAAAATATTTCAGCTTAAAAAAATTGAATTCATTCATTCAAATCATGTTGAAAAGCCTGCTATTGCAAGGACCACAACAGAGGTAAGGAACTACATGACTCCTCCCCTCAAAGAATTTACAATTTAGGAGAACAGATAACAATTGTATACACCTGGAGATAAAATAAGATTGGGAATGACAAGTGCCTTAAAAGAAGCATGTAGATAAATGCTGGAGGAGTTCTGAGGAGGGAAGAATGACTCTAGCTTTGGTTATCAAGAAAGCAAAAGAAAGACGGAGGTTATAAATACATGATTGCAGCCAATATGCTCCAACTGCTTTTGTTTTAGGGTTCTATTTCAGGCTCCATGCCTATGTGAGAGCCATGATACCTACTGTTACGTTTCCAGATGTCCTACTGACAGATTTTCTGAATGGGCTCTAATATAGAGAGTCAGTAGAATTCTATCAAGTAATCTATTAAAAGGCTTTTATTGTCAGGGCTCTCAACATGTGCTTTACCAGCAGGACAAGAAATACTTCTCCTGGGCAGTCAGCTCCCTCTGATCTCAGATTTGTCACCTTACTTTTCCAGGGACCTATCATCATTCCCATCTCTAAAACTAGTTCCACCAACCTGATCTTAGTGTTCTGAACATTTGTTTTTTGAGTTTGTGTTTATAAGAGGTGTTGAAGATAAAGGTCTGTTAGCTAATGAATGCTGTTTCTCTTTCCCTAAACACCTTATTTAGGTGTGATCATGATGGCTGTGGAAAAGCATTTGCAGCAAGCCACCACCTTAAAACTCATGTCCGTACACATACTGGTGAGTTGAGGCTAATTTTTATTTTTCATTTTAACCTTCACCAAGTCAGTAAATATCTGTGTTTCTCTTGAGAGCTGCAAAGCTTTCTGGAGGGAATGAGCCTAATCAGCTTAGCCTTCACCTATAACATTTGACTTTTCTTTCAGAAGGCGGAAGAATCTAAAAGTTGGGCTTAGGAATCCAACCTGAAGAAATGAAACCAACATAGAGATACTCAGGGGAAGAATCTAATCTTTTTTAGGTCCTTTAGAGAAAAAAACCTAATCTTTAATCTTCCGAGAAGCAGGCAATTCTCAGTGCTTTGCTCTGTGTTAAGTTGTAGGACTGAGATGAATAACATGTAATTTATTCAATTTATAATGACTGTTACCCGAAACCTCAAAAGAATATTTACTTCCCTCTGTAAGGGAAAAGTAGATGTCTCAAACCAATGAAATGACTTTATGGTAAAATTAATACCACTTGTCATTCTTGCAGGTGAAAGACCCTTTTTCTGCCCCAGTAATGGCTGTGAGAAAACATTCAGCACTCAATACAGTCTCAAAAGTCACATGAAAGGTCACGATAACAAAGGACACTCATACAATGCACTTCCAAATCACAATGGATCAGAGGTGTGTAGTGTTTTGTCTCTTGTTTTTATCTGGACACCAGAGAAGGGCAATGATTGCTTGTGTATCAAAATAAAAGGTTAAAACATCTTTTCTGTGTATCTGTTAGTGAGGGGGAAGAAATCAGGGTCAAGATCTATGTCTTTGTGATGGAGTGGTGGAAGCCAGAAATTTTAGCAGGCTCCCTGTGCTTCAGCTTCTGAATCTCGCTTCCTTTCCATCAGGTATGATGGAAGAAGTGTCTTGAAACCACAGGTCTCAGAATGGCTTCCAAAGGACCAGCCAGATGTTCTAAAGGTTATTATTTTCCCATTCATGTCCATGAAATGGTGTATCTGTACTTGAGTTTGGGACATGAATTGATGCTTGGCTTCACATATCCATTAATCCATTATTAGTGATGGATGGTCTTGATGGTCCCTTGCCCTTTTGAATTGTCCACAGACCAAAAGGTTAGAGAGCCACTGACGTAAGGCACTGAACCACAGAGCAAGCCTCTGTGGAATTTTAGGCTGTTCTGCCTCTTCCTTGCCAGGCCTTTCCTCCGTATTTCCCTCTCCTCTGTAGCTCCATTTTGGAGAGCTCCTGGGATGAATTTATCATTACCACTTCTAGTGTGGTGTTGGGTGCTTACCTTATATCTTTTCAACCTAGGAACTGAGTGCTATTATTTTACTATTTCTTAAAGAAACTGAAGCACACTGACCCCTTTATAAAAATGATGCTCTTAATGTATATAATATGGTTTTGATTTGGGTAGAGACAGCATACTTTAATTCTGTGGTCTCCAATTGTAAACAGCAAGGGATCCCTTTAAAAGGATTCTTCCCCTGTATTTTAAAGTAATAATAACTAACATTTCCTGAATGTTTACTGTTGCCAAGTACTATGCTGACCACTTGTATATAGATTATTTCACTCTCAAGATCTCTGTGAAGTCAGTACTATTATTATCCTCATAATACTGATAAAGGAGGCAAGGAGAAATTAAACGATTCCCTTGAGTATCCAAAGCTTGGAATCAGTCTAATTTAGCCACACAGTCCGATTCCAGACCGTGGTTCTTGACGCCTATGTTGTAAGAGGCAAAATAGCATTAATTGTGAAGACTACAGCCTCTGGAGCTCAGCTGCATGAATTCAGACCCAAGCTCTGCCCCTAATCAGATGACCTTATGCAGTGGCTTCTGTGTGCCTCAGTTTCTTCATTTGTAAAACCAGATAAAATTATTAATATTTGAGAGTCTTTTTGTCTATTAAGCTGTATTTATTAAATCATAATCAGTTTTCTCATTTTTATTACAATCCAAGGACAATTTAATTGCCAGCAGCTTCTGCACATCGGAGTGCCCCAGTGCACAGTGCTAGAACTCATCTTCTCTGGATTACTATGGAATCCATTCACATATCCATTAATCCATTATTAGTGATGGATGGTCTTGATGGTCCCTTGCTAGACCATCTTCTCTGCACAGTGCTAGAACTCATCTTCTCTGGATTACTATGGAATCTCTTTTAGCCTCAGGCTTTAAATGCCAACCAGATTGCCTTTAAGTCCTAAATTTATATCTCCAGCCTGGATCGCTTCAGGCATTATAGACTTTATAGACAGTCCCAGCGGAGGAAGATTTAATTTACAATTTTTTGACTTTACAATGGTCTGAAAGTGTTATGCATTCAGTAGAAACCATATGTTGTATTTTACTCTTTTCCTGTCTGGGCTAGTGATATGCCTTAGGATACCTCTCTTGATGCTGGGCAGTGGCAGTGAGCCGCAGCTCCCAGTCAGCCTCGCGATCACAAGGGCAAACAAATCACTTCACAGTCATTTGTACCCATACAGTCATTGGGCTTTTCACCTTCAATACAGTATTCAATCGGTGACATGAGATATTCAACACTTTATTATAAAATAGGCTTTGTGTTAGGCTAATACAAATGTGCTGAGCTGAGTTAATGATAGGCTGTACTAAGCTATGATGCTCTGCAGGCTAAGTGTATTAAATGCATTTTTAACTTAGAATATTTTCAACTTACAATGAGTTTATCAGGATGTAACCCCATCATAAGTAAAGGAAGATTTATATAGTTGACTCTTGAACAACACAGGTTTGAACAGTCAGGTCCACTTACATGCAGGTTTTTTTCTAGTAAATTTACTGGAAAATATTTTTGAAGCTTTGCAACAATTTAAAAAACATTTTCTTTTCTCTAGCTTACCTTATTGTAAGAATACAGTGTATAATACATATAACATGAAATGTGTGTTAATTGTTCATATTATCAGTAAGGCTTCTGGTCAACAGTAGGCTATTAGTAGTTAGGTTTTTGGGGAGTCAGAAGTTATATGTGGATTTTCAACTACATGGGGTTCAGCATCCCTAACCCCTGTGTGGTTCAATGGTCAACTACTATATTCAACCTTCCACTTCACATCTCTACCCAGATAGCATCCACTTGTCTGTAATTTGAGATGTCCAAACCTGTTCTTCCTACAGTCTTTCCTATCTTAGTAAATGGCACATCTGTTTTTCTAAGGTCACAGGACAAAAATCTAGAGTTGTTCTTGACACGTTTTTTTCTTGAACCCTACATCTACTAGAAAAGTCTATTAGCTCTACTTGAGAATATATCTAAAATCTGGTCACATCTTTTGATTACTTCATTCAAGCTGCTGTCATCTTTTGCCAGGATTTTGCAGTAACCTACTCTGAATTGTCTTCTTAGCACCTTTACTGCCCTTCTCCCCACTCCCACTCCACCTTGACCCAGACTGGTCTACGTATACCACCCAGAGTGATCTTTCTAAACCATAAGGCAAATAATGTGGTCCTCTACTAATAACCCTCAGTAGCTTCTTGTGTCACTTAAGATGTGGCAAAAGGCCACATCTTTACAGTGGTCCACAAGGCCATATATATTCTGGCTGGTCACTTCTCTGACCTGATTCATCTCTCTTCCTCTCACTTTAGCCTTACTGTCTTCCTTGTGGTTTCTTGAACAAAGGAAGCCCACTCCTGCCTTTGTACTTGCTGTGTCCACTGCTTAGAACACTTTCCCTGGATACCTGTGGTCCATACTGCTCTTTCCTTCAGTATTTGCTTAAATGCCACCTTGTCTAAGAGGCCTCCCCAAGTCTAATAAAAGGACAGCTTCTACCCCAGCAGTCCTTAGTCCCCTTACCCTCCAGAGCATTATCATCATCTTGTATGCAACATGTTTATTTGTATGTTTTGGTCCATTCCCCCTCCACTTACTAGAATGTAAGCTCTATGGTGTCAGTGATTTTGTGTCATTCATTATTGTGTCAGTGCCTAGTACATAGCAGGCGCTCAGTGAATATTTGTTGAATTTGAATGCATGCATGAATGGGAACATGATCCATGAGGGAAGCAGGATTACTGCATACAGTGTATGAATTGCAGCATTCTAGGAATCCAGAGATCAGAGTTAGCCTAGGGCAGCTGTATTTGAGTAGTAAATCCTCAGTGTAGCTCTGAGTAAGGATCCCTTAGATGTCCATTTTAGAAATACAGTGCTATAACGGAATCAGAGGCACTGTGTATTCTGCTAGTTAGCTTTGTGACTTTGGACAGTTCAGTGCCAGTCTTAGCAGTAGTTTTCTCGTATTTAAAATGGGAATGTAAAATACTACTACAAAGATTTATATGAATAGCAAATGCTGTCATATGAAATCACTTTGTACATAATAAGACAAATTATATAAATATTATTGATTTCATGTAATTACAGCTTTTGTTACTCTGGAGATTGAGTCATGGATAGGTCTTAAACTATTAAGCATCTTTAGGAAATGCAAGAGATTCTCCTAAGAATATCAGGATGTTTTAAATTGAAATAGTTCCTGTAGCCCTTGCTTTGGATGGTTTATACCTCTCAGGTAATACATCTAGACATTTGGAACTTCAGAGACATTGTAATCAAGTGTTTAATTATATGATATTCTGTGTATCTGATAAGGATCTGGCATCTAGAATATATAAAGAACTCTTACAACTCAACAAAATAAACCCAAACAACTCAATTTAAAAGCATACAGAGGACCTGAATAGACATTTCTCCAAAGAATATATGGCCAATGAGCACATGCAAAGATGCTTAACATCATTAGTCACTAGGGAACTGCAAATCAAAACCATGGTGAGATACCACTTCACACCCACAAGAATGACTACGTTTTCTAAAAGTGGAAAATAACAAATGTTGGCCAGGATGTGGATATATTGGAACCCTTATATGTAGCTGATGGGAATGTAAAATGGGGTAGCTGCTGGGGAAAACAGTTTGGTGGTTCCTCGGAAAGCTAAATGTAGAATTACCATATGACCCAGCAATTCCACTCCCAGGTATATACCCAAAAGAACCGAAAACAGGTGCTCAAACAAAGACTTGTATATGAATGTCCACAGCAGCACTCTTCACAATAGCCAGTAGGTGGATAGGACCCAAATGTCCATCAGTGGATGAATAGTTAAGCCAACGATGGTACATCCTACAATGGAGGAGTATTCATCCATTACAAAGGATCGGAGTACTGATACATGCGGATGAACCTCAAAAACATTTTTTTAAGTGAAAGGCAGACTCAAAAGGCCACAGAGCATTTGATTTTATTTATATGAAGTATCCAGAATAGGCAAATCCAATGGTAGAAAGCAGATCAGTAGTTGCCAAGGGCTGAGAAGGTAGGAATAGTGAGTGATTCCTTATTGGATATGGGGATTCTGTCTGTGGGAACCAAAACTGTTTCTGGAACTAGGTAGTGGATGGTTGCACAACACTGTGAATGTACTTAAGCTGCCGAATTGCACACTTTCACTAAATGTTATGTGTATCTTACAACAGTAAAAAGCATTAATTCAAAAAAAATAATACGATATTCTACTATAAATCCTGATTTTTTTGTTATTCAATTAGAATTTTTTCTCTTCCACAGGATGCAAACCACTTTCTTTGTCTGAGTGACTTGAGCCTTCTGTCCACAGATTCTGAATTGCGAGAAAATCCCAATACAGTAAGTGTACCTGTGATATGGGTGCTTAGAGAAATAAGTGCAAGAACTGAGCACTCCCTTTGGTGGGAAAATTGAAATAGGCCATCTTTGAAGACTTCCAGATTTAGTTGTGTTCAATTACTGACTGTTCAGGGTTTTTTGTTTTTACTTTTGCTTTTGTTTTTCTGCTTGATAAGACCTCTCATAGGAGACACTGGTCTCTCTGATGCCTAATGCCTTTTGATTCAGGTCACTCACTTGATAATCTGGCCCCAGAAGATTTCTTTATTTATTCATTTAGCAAATATTTATTGCGTCCTTACTCCATTAGGCCATGTGCTGGTACCGAGCTACTTGTAGTGATGAAAATGTAGGTATGTTGTGTCCTGGAGGAGCTTAAAATTAGTGCACTGTAAGGGGGAGCCAAAATTCCAGTTTTCAGACTTTCTCAAGCTTTGCTGGTCTGACCCGAGTCAGTCTTTTCCTTTCTTTGAGTTTACTACACTGGGAACCTCCTCTAAACACCCTCTGCTAAGGGACAACCCCACTGTTTCATGATCTGATTGCTTCAGTTCACTTTGCTTGGAATTTCCCTGCCATTCCCATGTCTTCATGATGTGCCTTGCAGACCACTGCATTAAGCCTGAGCTTAGACTCCTTCTTGAGGATCTGTGTGCTTTGCTGTATCACAACACTACTTGTTAAGTGTGCACTTTTTACAATTTTTCTCTGGTAAATAAATACAGCTTAGGTTGGATTTTCTATGAGTATATGCATAATAAATAAGAAGGAATATCTGTGATAGGAGGTATTTGAAAAGAGACTGAATGCTCAGGCATGCTGCAAAAAGTGTCTCTTGAAGTGCGAGCAGTGGAGGCACCTGCAGCACTCTAACACCATAGGTTTGGGCCTCACCCCAAGCCCACTGAGTCAGTGTCCTTTGGGAATGGCAGCTGACACTGCATTTGTATATAAGCACCCCAAGGCCTGGGCTTTTCTGGTCATGGCAGAGTTGCTCTTACCAGACCAACCCTCCCATAGAAAACAGCTATCTATGCAGGGCAAAATACAAAAAACAACTACTTGAAGGCACCATAGGGCAACCCAAACTGGCAGAGGAAACACTTGAAAGCAGAGGCCACTTGGAAGATAGCAAAGGCACTGGATGGGTTTTCAGGTTTTATGGCTTATCCACCTCAGGGCTAGGCTCAATTGACACCAAACAGGATGCCCAAAACTCAGTAAACACTCAGTCTACTGGCCCAGATAACCAGAGGGCAGAGTTCAGGGCTACCTCAGCCCCTGGAAAGTTAGGAGGCATGGCCTGGAAAAGAAGGAGCCACAAAAGGGGAGCCCCAGTTCTGTGTGTAAACTCTGTCCAGATCTCTAATCGATCCCTTAAGTGTGGATGTGTGGGACAGAACCTTGAGCAGCCAGCTAAGGCTAAAGCACTGGACAAAGATTACAGCTGTTGTCCTCTTCAGAGAAGGTAGAATTTGGAGCTGTAGAACAGCCAAGCCAATGGAATGTTAAAGCAAGCAAACAGATGCTCTTCCAAGAAATGTGACGGAATCCAGAGTCTCTAGAACATACCATTTGCAATATCCAGGGTAATCCAAAATTAGTAAACATAAGAAGAAACAGGAAAATAGTATCCCTGCTCAAGAGAAAAGGTAATCTATGGAGACTGATGCCAAGATGACCCAGATGTTAGAATTAGCGGACAAGAATTTTTAAATAGTTCTGTGTTCTCAAGGACATAAAGGAATGTGCTTGCAATGATTGAATAAATAGGAAATCTCAGCAGAGAAATAGAAACTATAAAAAATGGAAATTCTGGGACTGAAAATATATCTGAAATAAAAAATTCACTGGATGGGATTAACAGCAGATTGGAAAAGACAGAAGAAAGAACAGGTTAAACTGAAGATAGAGCAATAGAAATTAACCAATCTGAAGAACACAGAAAAACATTAAGTAAGTATAAGTACTTCATATGATATTTATGCATACTCACATCTCAGCATTGATTCTCTAAATGAAATTTCTATACTGGGTGGCCTAGATGCCCTCTGGGCTATGCAGCCTAAGATTTCTGGGTATCTCTCTAATCTTGGAGATTGTCTTAAATGGTGTAGGAGTCCACTCCCTGGCCAGGGCTGTGACATATGACTGAGGAGCTTTCTGGAGCCTTGAGCTCACCAGGTGAGGATTCCTGGTATGAGGGGGAGGGGACATTAAGTACTTGTAAAAAAGGAAAACCTTTTCTGCCACAATTTACATTAGCAAGAGAGAGGCTACTGTATTGCTTGGATCATACTACATATTGTGCCCTCACCCAGCATTTATCCCAGAATGGAAAATAGTCTCATTTTTAGTCTTTCACCTAAGGCAACAATTCTTGGAAATAAAAGGATTAATTTTGCTTTGCTCTAAAAAAATTAAAAATTGAAAAAATCAGATGATACATTTTTATGAGATCATCATTTTATAGGTTTCTGGGTAGCCACATGTGTGTATGTGTCCTAGGAGTGAACCTTGGTTTGCTCAGCTCTTTGTTGTGGGGGTTAAAACAGCTAGGGAATGGCTTGCTGGGCCTGTTGACTGTGCAGCTTCAGGGTCTGTCCTGGTCCCAGACAGCTCCTAGTGTTCTTGTCTTCTCTTTGCTCTGAGGCTCAGCCTGTTCTTGTCACCTCTGCTTTTGGGAACTGCTCTCACTCACTCTGCCCAGAGGTTTTTGCCCAGCAGCCTGTCAGTGGCTGAGGTGCAGTACCCTCAGCACTTTCCTGTTTTTTTATTATTATTATTATTTAAAAAAATATTTCACTGAAGTGTAATATACATGCAGAAAAGTACATCTATCATAAATGTACAGCTTGATGAATCATTGTTCAGCACATCCATGTAACCAGCACCCAAATCAAGAAAGAGAGCATTCCAGTGCCCCAGAAGCACCACTCACAGCTGTTACCTCTCCTTCAGGATAACCGTGATCCTGACTTCTGACAACCTTACAGGAATTTTGCCTGTTTTTGTGCTTTGCATCATGGGATATATAGTCCTTTGTGCTGACCTTTCTTGCAACCTTGAGCTCACCAGGTGAGGATTCCTGGTATCAGCCTTGGCAGCACCACCCCAGCCACAAAGTACTACTGAGCCCCTGCCAGCCATGGTCCAGACTCTGCCCCTGCATGCCAACTCTATGTTGTTGCATATAGTCTAGATCACTCTCATTGTTGAATAGTATTACATCAAACAAATATACCACAATTTGTTCTTTCTGCTTCCTTTGGATATTTGGATGGTTTCTAATTTGAAACCATTACAAATAGTGCTGCTGTGGACATTCTCGTAGGTAATCTTTTGGAGTAACACTAGCAATATTACTGCAGATATAGTGTGTAAACAGGTAGAACAAAAATAACCATGAGGAAGTTGCAAAGCTTACAGCTTAGTGGTAGTTGTTAGCCCACTACTTTTCAAACTACGTGACACCTCTTTACTGGGTTTTGAAATAATTGTATAGGTTTATAGGTTTATAATCAGCATTTTAAGGACATCAACAAAATAGAAACTATCAGAAGGCATTGCACACAGTAAAAATAAGCTCTGTTTCATAGACTTTAGTTTCATTTATACATATGGATAGATGTGTAATATGATGTATGTATGTGTATACATAATGTAAAATGTATTCTTACTTTGTGTCACAGTGAAAAGTTTGAAGGCTGCTGTCTTGGCCTATGCTTCTTAACTCCCTCCAAATGGGGAGCTGGAAGCCTTGCATAGATTTCTGCCCTCAGTTTCTATCATACTGGCAATCAGATTCATTCACCTTCCTGCTCATTCTTCTATCTGTTAGAATCGTGCCAGAATAATTGGTCCCTCTTGGCTCAAATGGGCAGTTTATAGTCTCTGAGGACCTCGAGGTTGGTGGACAGTTGCACTTAGCACAGTTTCACGCAGCCTCAAGTGATCTCTCGTCCTCCCAGAAGCAGAGTTGTTGCAAAATGGCCTTTAAACACTCTGCACTGGGGCAAAATCTGGCCTGAAGATAGGTTTTGTTTGGTCTACACAATACTTTTAAATTGTTTTAAATTACTTTCTTTTAATTACAAATCAAAAAAATTAGATTTCATGAAAAATCCAGATTTCTGGCCATTCTTGGGCTCCAGTGATCCCCAGTCTGCATAGCACATGGCAGCATTCCACTGACAACCTTTAGCTGAGTGGGGTGCATGCTTTCCAGGTTAGCACAGCCCGCACTCCCTCGTCCCCCACCCCTGGCACCTCCCTTTCTTCATTTATTTCTGCAACTTCTCTGGACTCTTGGAGGCTATTGTGTTTGTCACTCTTGCTTTACAAAATGCGAGGGTGGAGGTGGACTGGAGATGGACTGGAGGTGGAGTGCAGATAAAAGAATTGCTGTTTTTCTCTTCCTCTTAACTAAAGGGAAGCCTGGAGATGGTCATTTTATTGGGTACCTATCAGGAGTCAGACCCTGAAGGCCTTTCATTTTTGTTTCACATTTTATCTTTTTTTAAATGCCTCTGACCTTTTTTTAATTGTAAGTTACGAAGAAATTTGCAGTGATAATAGTGAACATACAAGTGTGTGTGTTCACTTAGTGAGTATAAGGCAATCACTATTATCTGTTATTTTAAGTTTATGTTGTTTGATTCATTGCCATGTGTACATATTAGAATAACATAGATGTTACATAATGATCTTGAAAGATATTCACAGTATATTATTTCATGAGAAAAGCAAGTTGCAAATAATAAATGTTATATAATCCCATTGTTTATGTAGGACTTGGTCTCTAAGAGCAGGGGTCGGCAAACTTTTTTTTGGAAAAGGCCAGATAGTAAATATTTTTGTCTTTGTGTACCAGGTAGTCTCTGTCGCAACTCCTCGGTTCTCCTGTAGTGCAGAGGCAGCATAGATAGTAGGTGAACCAGCATGCCTCTGTTCTAGTAAAACTTTCTTTACAAAAGTAGGTAGGCAGCCTGCAAGTCATAGTTTGCCAGCTCCTGTTTTAGAGTATTTGAGGACCCAATTCTGCAGCATCTGAGATTTAGGGAAATATATGTCACATTAGAAAAGGCAAAGTTAGAAGCAAGGCTGTCAAAAGCTCATTCTAGTTCTGCTGCCTGATGGTCTCTTATGGTGAAGAATTGTCTCAGGATGGAAAATCTCATGTCTTTTCTCTCTGTTCATCAGACACAGGGCCAGGATCTCAGCACACTTTCACCAGCAATCCTCTTTGAATCAATGTTCCAGAATTCAGATGATACGGCAATTCAGGAAGATCCTCAACAGACAGGTTTGTTATACAAACTTTTTTCCTGGGAAAGGGAATTCACAATTGTTGACACAATAAATAATAGGCACAGTGAAATATTATTTCAGTTCCTTTGAATGAACTGTCCTTTCAGTGAGGGGTCAGAAAAGTGTGGGCCCTTCATTTCAATTCCATCTTTTCCCCTCCTTCCCTCAGTAAGGGTCTGCTTGAGGGTCTCCTTTTCCAAAAACTCTTGTTGGCTTTGAAAAGTGAGTGGAGCTGTGAGCGTTTGCTGCTTCCCCTGTTCATGAGTGGGTAGGATCCACAAACTGAGCATCAGATCATGCTGTGTTTGAATGAAAATTAGTCTCTGACACTTCACAGTAGTCAGGAAGTATGTTCACTGGTCATGCCAGAAAAGGATGTCAAGTTTCCTTCCCAGAAAAGCCTTACGACAGCATGTTTTTAATGGTAAGACCTATGCTAGCTCTTTACATTTAGAAATTGAGGTTGATCATGAAGCCTGGTACTTTGACCAAAGGTGTCATTAAATGAAAAGCAGAAAGCCAGCCTTCTAGCAGTGAAGGAATTGGCCCTAACAGATTCAGCCGTCTTTGGTTTAGCCCTTAATGACTATGCTTTTGTGGCTCGTATGAGGCTTGGGATATGTATATACATTTCTATTTCTTTTTCTTGCCAGCTGCCTTGATTGAAAGTTTTAATGGTGATGCAGAGTCAGTCAGTGATGTTCCGCCATCCACAGGAAATTCAGCATCTTTATCTCTTCCACTTGTACTGCAGCCTGGCATCTCCGAGCCATCCCAGCATCTACTACCAGCCTCAGCACCGTCTGCTCCTCCGCCTGCTCCCTCCCTAAGAACTGGTTCCCAGCAAGCTGCATTTGGCAAACCCCCTGCTCTCTTACAACCTCCAGAAGTGCCTGTTCCCCACAGCACACAGTTTGCTGCTAATCATCAAGAGTTTCTTCCGCACCCCCAGGCACCACAGCCCATCGGACCAGGACTTTCTGTTGTTGCTGGGGCTTCGGCATCAGCAGCAGCCGTGGCATCAGCCTTGGCAGCACCACCCCAACCACAAAGTACTACTGAGCCCCTGCCAGCCATGGTCCAGACTCTGCCCCTGGGTGCCAACTCCGTCCTAACTAACAATCCCACTATCACCATCACCCCAACTCCCAGCACAGCTATCCTGCAGTCCAGCCTAGTCATGGGAGAACAGAACTTACAGTGGATATTAAATGGTGCCACCAGTTCACCACAAAACCAAGAACAAATTGTAAGTATTATGTGTAAATGGATCCAATGGGGTGATTGGCATTTACACGGGTGACATATTCCAAGGCTTTTCCTTCAAAAAGGAAAGTGGTTCTTCTATCTGCCCTGAACAGTAATTCTACCTCTTAGTCATTTTCCTCATAGCGGAGTAGTATAAATTCAGGGAATGCTGTGGTCAGTGCCTACAGTAGAGAAGGCAGAGAAGCAACCTTCAGGTTTACCTAGCAGTAGGCACTTGAACAACTATTCCATCTGCAGTCTCATCCTGTCATCCAGGACAGCGAAGCAGTCAACAAACTCCAGAGGCCCAAGAATGTTACAGGAAAGCGGGTTTTTCTCCAAGGCAGAGTTAGACTGATGTGACCATATCATATGGAACCAGACAGCAGTGACCAACTCAGAGAAAGAATCTGCACGTCCAGAGCCCGCCATAGAGCCATTTTCTACAAAAGTGTTTGGTCTTGATAACTAAGGAAATGACTTGGTTATTCAGTTAAATACATTTTAAGGACCTGCTATTTCACCAGATACCCTTGGGCTACTCTTGTTGATGCAGAAAAATGAAAAGTGAAAACCAGGATCTCTTTTTCATAAAAATTTATATTGTAGTTAAAAGGGCAAAAATGCCTGAAAGAGAGTTAACATTATCAGTAGGTAAAGTGCCAAATAATAATAAAAATAGTAATGAAAAAAATAACAACAGCTGTGATTTTCTGAGCACGTGTGATGTGTGAGGGCTCACTGGACTAACTATGCACTTTCTAAAATTGAGGAGCTAACATATGCCAGTCATTACCTTATGTGTATTATTTTTAGGTTGCATTTTTTGTAGATTTTATTGAACAGATAGTATAGAGAATTTCCATACATTCCCTGCCCCTGCCCCCCAGTTTCCCCCTTATTAATATCTTGCATTAATTAATGTGTATATTTGTAACAGTTGATTAGTCAATAATGATACGTTGTTATTATTAACTAAAGTCTGTAGTTTACATTAGGTTTCACTCTGCATGGGGTGCGATTCTGTGGGTTTTGGCAAATGCATAATGTCATTTATCAACCATTACAGTATTCAGATTCATGTCACCACCCTAAACATCCCTTATGCTTCACTTATTTATCCATCTTTCACCTTGTGCCCTTGGCAACCACTGATCTTTTTACTATCCATGTGTCTGTATCTCTAGTTGTCACCCCCTGTGCTCACTAAGCACTTTTTTAATGCATTACTCATGTAATCACAGCAATCCTAGGAGGTAGATATGATTTTACCAACAGAGAACTGAGGCCCAGAGAAGTTAAGTAACTAACCCGTGATCACATAGCTCTTAAGTGGCAAGGCTAAGATTTGAGCATAGACAGACCAACCTCACAACCTGTGCTCTTGACTACCACATTGGGCTGCTAGATGAGGGGTTCAGAAACTAAGGGCTTGTTGAGTGTCCATACAGGTCAGGTGAACTTTGAAGTATGAATATTAATTAGATGGAGAAAAGGTTGTACAAAGTAGGAGAGTGCTTGACACTATCAGACAAACTGGAAAGGTAGGTTAGGGCTAAATAGAGCATTTTAAATTCTATAAATGGGATGCCGACCACCTCTGGAGGCAACCTAGTTCCATTTTCAGATGATCAGAGTCACTGGAAAGGTCCTGTCAGTGTTATGGCCCAGTCTGCCTCTGTGTAGTTGTTATCTGGATCTGCCTGGAGAGCTGCATGGAACAAGTGTCATTACTTTTCCACATAATTCATTTTCACGTATGTAAATGTAGCTTTATTTTTCCATCATTTTATAGTGTCATCTCCTATAACCTAACCAGAAGCTTTCATGTTTCTCCTAGACTCAGAGGCACATTTTTTTTCCCCATAAAAGGATAAGAGACAAAGCCCATCTAAGATAAGACTTGAAGAAAGCAGAAACTGTAGCTAATTTAATAGGAAGTATGCCAAAGTAATAGGGCTGAGTTTTGGCCATGGCTTTATAGTCCTGCTTAGTAATGATGTAAAAAGCTAGTGTTTGCTGAATGCTCAACATGTGCCAAGGGCTCTCCATGTATTGTCTCATTCCATCCTCACTGGGGTCTTTTGGGAGGTCCTTAGTTATCCCCATGTCTACAGATGAGGAAACTAAGACTCGGATAGGTTAAATCACTTGCTCAGCAACTAAGTAGCAGAGCTTGGATTTGAATCCAGGTGTGACTGAGTCCAGGGCCCATGCTTGGGCAACTACCCTATGCAGCTGTAACAGCACACTGCCCAGGGCCTTTGCAGGGGCTTTTCTGCCTGCAAGAGGAAGTCCTAGCCTGTGCTTAGCATGTGGTTTAATCCTTGAGGGGAAAAAAGAACTTTCCAGCTGCATAGAAGTATCTAGAGGGAAGTAGGGAGTGGAGAGCTTAGAGAGGAAGTTAGCCTTGGGGCTCCTTCTGAGAAGACCATGACCTTGAGAAAAGCAACCTTACAGAACCAGTGGGCACACAGAACATACTGGATTAGGCAGTGGGCAACAGCAATTAGTAGGGGACAAAGCTGGCTACATTGTCAGTCCTGAATGTCAAACAGTGTGGTGACCTCATGTCAGAGCACAAAACATCACTCAGTGCAAAAATCCCTGCACACTGAGGGTCTTCTGTCCTCTTGAATGCCTATGACAGCTGGGGAGGCCTCATGTTCTTAGAAATCCACCGTACCTGAGTGGCCATAAATGTGTTTTGTTTTGTTTTTTTCCAGCAGCAAGCATCTAAAGTTGAGAAGGTGTTTTTTACCACTGCAGTACCAGTAGCAAGTAGCACAGGTATGTAATTCTGTCTGAACTTTAAAAGAAAGTCAACTCTCTGGGCCCTGTGAAGCACAGTTAATTGTTGCTTTGCCCCAGTCTTTAAAACTTTAAAATTAATTTTGTCACATTGTATTGTTTATTTATTAGAGTATTTCCTCTTCTCACCTGTTGGAAGTTAGTGTACTTACGGCATAAATACCATGTTTAACATTCTTTCTTCAGTAATGGTTCTTTCCCTTTCAGATGTAGCTTTTAAATGTAGCCGGAAAAAAGCCTGAATCCCAGTTAATGCCAAAGAGGGCAGTCATTAATTCACCAGACTCTTTTCTAATATACAGTAATAAAGAAATAGCATCTGGGTCAGACTTAATAAAGAATAAAACATCCTTTATTTTTCAAACTATTTATTTTATAGATTAAGAAACTAGGGCCCTAAAAGATGAATTGACTCCCTTGAAGCCCTGAGTGAGTCTGTGGCCGAGCCACAGCACTAGTTCTCAGGCCTCCTGACTCCTCTGTTCTCCTACCGCTTGGTCTCTCACTCTCGAGACACGCACAGTCTGTCTGAATTCAGATTGTGCATTTGCACAACTAGCCCACATACACAAAAGAGAGAGAGAGATATGCATGCACACAGGCTGGCTGTGTAAAAAGACATTTTCCAACACCTCCTGTGTTGGAAGTGGACTGTGGCTACAAAGAGGAGTGAGATGCCTTAATGGGGCACAGAGTCTGTTGGGCAGGCAGAACTAAACAAGTGCTGTGCAGTGTGGAGAGAGGCGTGAAAGGAAGACAGTGGCTCTGTACACATGTGCCAGGAAACTCATATGCCAGCTGCCCTTGGGCCAGCCCTAGTGTAAGCCTGCTGGAAGCACTGCCTGGAGGCATCAGGACAGGAGTAGAGTGAGCTGGCTCTTCAGAGTTAAGAAGAGTAAGTTCTCCATAAGAAGAGCGATGTCTGGGGAGTTCAGGCAGAAGGAAGATCCCAGAGGCCCATAGCTGTGAAGAGCTTGTCAGGAAAAGGGAGGCATCTTCTGTGGCTGGCATGGAGGGTGCAGGGGGAGAGTGGCTGGAAATGAAGCTGAAAAGACAGGGTCCATCTGGATGATGTGTGTGGCTTCCTAAGGAAGAGGGACTTTGTCTTGGAGAGGATGAGGAGTGTCAGAGGCTTTTTATCTGAGGAGGACCGAGGGCCCATTTAAAGCAGAATAAAGTCTGGAGCATGGCATCCACCCTTCCCAGTGTTCCTGCCTCCGTGGCACTCAGCTCTTACCTAGTCTGTATGCCCCTATCCTTCCTGCCCCCGCCCTGCAGCTACTTGAGGAGCAGTCTCTCTTGCCTCTCTCACAGGGAGCTCTGTACAGCAGATTGGCCTCAGTGTTCCTGTGATCATCATCAAACAAGAGGAGGCATGTCAGTGTCAGTGTGCGTGCCGGGACTCTGCCAAGGAGCGGGCAGCGAGCAGGAGAAAGGGCTGTTCTTCCCCACCCCCTCCAGAGCCGAACCCCCAGCCTCCTGACAGGCCCAGCCTGAAGCTTTTACCACAGACTTTTCCCTCCCCCACTGTCCCCCTGTCGTCATCCTCCGCCATACCCTCTTCCTGTGAGCAAAGCAGACAAGCAGAGACTCCTTCAGACCCTCAGACAGAAACGTTAAGTGCCATGGATGTGTCAGAGTTTCTGTCCCTCCAGAGCCTGGACACCCCATCCAATCTGATTCCCATTGAAGCACTACTGCAGGGGGAGGAAGAGATGGGCCTGACCAGCAGTTTCTCCAAGTGAAAGGCCTATATATGCTCCCCTTCAAGGAAAGAGGGCAAGCAGGAAGCATAAGGTGCGATGCCTACCATCATGGGGTCAGCAATTTGAAGGATGAAGAAATCTACTGTTTGAAATCCTCAACTGTCAGATGTATTTTCTTTATTCATATCCCAGGAGCATCCATTTTAAGGAACTGATCTTTGGGGAAAAAAAACAACAAAAAAACAAAACAAAAAAAGCTAAGTTATAAACGAACTGTTTGGCTGCACTGTATGTCACTTTTGCTTATTGTCATGTGAACTTGGAAATTAAGGTTACTCGTATGCATAAAAATTCTAAATGAAAGGGTGTGGTTTTCATCAATCTGATGCTGCCCATCATTGCACTGGGGTCTTTGTGGTTTTGGCAGTAGAGTTCAGGGTGTCGGGTATTGCTCCTCCCAGGTGTCTTTTGAGTCTGAGGCTGACATGTATCCAGAGGCCAGACCCTCACTCCATCAGAGAGGGGAGTGGCACAGGCAGGTCAGACAGCTATGAGCTGAACAGGGACTGGGTGAGATGGTTTTGTTCGCCCGCGGTGTGGGTGGAGCTCAGGGTGACTGCGGCAGGTGTCATCCTGCAGCCAGCTGCAGCGCAAAGGGCAGCTAAGATCCTGGCCTGAGACTGGGGAGATGATCTGGTTCTGCAGGGCCCTAAGCAGGTTGCTGGCTGCCGTCTGTCGCTGCTTGTGCAGGGCCAGCTGTAGCAGCATGAGCTCAGTCTTTGCCTTCCTGGCTCTTTCTCAGTTGGTTGCCAGGGCTTGCAGATCACATGAATTTTTCTTGGGGAACATCCCTGGTTTGACCTACAGTGGACAAGTGGCTTATGGCCAGTTGCTCGTCGGTGGTCTGCCTTCCTTTAATGGTATTTTCTTCTTCAGAGCAGCAGAGCTGCATTTTGCTTATCAGGAGAAGGTGTGGCTTTAAGGGAGTTTAAGGCGGCAAGTAATTGGCAGGCCAGGTGTCCTGGTTCCAGGTTCTAGTTGCCCTCTCCCATCTCCGCCTCTCACCCCCCTGGATTTTGCATACAGCCTAGTACACTGCAAAGGGTGTGACTTGCTCAGTTTTGTCATATGATTTCTGAACAAAAACAAAAACCATGAAAAGATGTTCTTCTACTCAGGGTAAAACAAAACAAAACAAAAAACTCCCCTTCCACCAAAAAGCCTGAAATGTTGCAATAAGTTATCTCATTTGGAATATTTCATTAAGTTGTGTTATAGGGAAACATTTTTTTTGATTTATATATAGAATTATATCCATCTGTCTACCTTTGGCTCCAAGTCATTGCCTCTTAAAATTAAACATAAAATACAGTCCACTAAAACGGAATGTTGCTCTCATCTGGCTGTGTTAGTGTAGTCATGAGTGCTCCCCCAGTTTGCTGAGCTTAGACACTAGACCTAGCCCAGGATCTACACAAGGCCTCTGCCCATCAAGAGTCCCTTCCCTTCCTTGAGCAAGGAGCAGGGTTCCTCAAACTGGGCTATTCTCTGAGTCAGCAGTGTCAAGCAGAAAACAGCCATAATGTTGCCTTCCTTTTCCACTCTGCGTTTGTCACTCTCCTGTTCTCTGAGCCATTACTCAGGGCCAGCCAAGATAATGTCCAGAACAGATCATTTACCTGGGAGCCAGAGGCCCTGCCTTTAACAGGATGTTCAGGGACAGACTTGTACAGGAGGACAGTGGTGGTAAATGTTATTGTCATGAGGAGAACGGGCTTAACCAACAAGCAGCTGGTGGTTTCTCATTCCAGGAGTCTGTAGTCAGGAGAATTGGTTTCTTTTTGGCCTTCTTAATCCCGTCTGCAGAAGGCTGGTGGGTCTGGTGGCCATTGACCTCAGCAGAAGCTGATAAGGCAGGAGGCATCTCCTACTGCCACAGAGGGTTAGTCATTCTGGGAGGACTATGCTGAGCATAGTTTGTTCTTGGCTGTTTCTGGGCCTTGCACCCATAGGAAACTTTGAAGTAGGACTCTTGCTGTTTTCTCTACAACTGAGAGAACAGCATAATGGGATCTCAAAGGTAGCTCATATTGGAGGACAGGAATGACCTCCCCCCATACCCATCCTAGGGTCACCTGGAATATGGTTCCCTGGTTGCTGAGGGAGCACACAGGAGCCCAGGGAAGGCCATTGGAGGCATCCATGGTTTAAATATTGCTTATTTCTGGTTAGCCAGGGCTGGCCTTGTATTGGACCTCCCCAGGTCACTGGCTTTTCTGTTCTCCAAAGATTGGGGGTGTTGGAAGAAGCATCTTAAAACAGTGTTTAGGCTGACAGATCTTTCTAAGTGAAGTATCTGCCTTTTGAGGGTGACTCAAAATGTTAGAAGGGGGACTGTCAGATCCAATCAGCTTTTCAAAAACCAGGAATGTGCTAGTGAGTGGTTGTGAAGAGCAGGTTGTTGCATAGGGTAGGTAGGTCTTGCCTTCTTCCTTCCTTCCTCTTACAGCACTCTTCCCCACCTCGCCTTTCTGTAAACACTAAGGGCCTTGGAGAAGAGAGGGCTGCCAGCCAAAGTGGAGCCAGCAAGAGCCCTCAAGGAGAGTGTGGTTTCCCAAACCCAGGAATGAACCTAGGGTGAGGTTAGGGAAGGTCTGCAGACTTCTAGCAGGTGAAATCGAGCCTTTTATCGTCCCATGGTAACTTCACCCATTTTCACCTTATAGATTTATACTTCCAGCTCCCACTACCATCTCTGGTCATACTGCGCTTTACTGGGTACTAATCGGCACCAGGAATTTGCGTTCGTGGGCTTAGGAGGTGGTAGGAAACTGGCTGGCACCGCCAAACTGCCTTAGTGATTTTGGCCCTTCCCAGGCAGGTGGGTGGGGCATTGAGGCAAAGTGGCCCTGCTTTTCCTGGCAGGGTCTGAGCAACCTCACAGGGGCATCACCAGTTTGGTGGCAGGAGCTGGTGTCATTATTGAATTACACCATGCCCCCCATTAGAAGGAGATCATGGTACAAAGCCCAGGAGGGGCCTTAAGGTGTGACGACCTCTCTGGGTAGAAGTAAGAGACTTCTCTTCACCACCTCTGGGAGAGTCAATAGATTGGGAAGTTTTACCTTCAGGGTCAAAGCAGTGGACCAGTGGAGATAATGGAGGGTGGGTGGGTTTTCCTGAGAGACTTTGTATAATGCTGAGTGTGTCCAGAAGGATGAGTTTGCAGAACCTCGTATTGGTATATTAAAGAAATAATAAAATAAAAAAGCACTTTAGGTTATTTTATCTTTAACCCAATTGCTGCAATTTCTTTTGTGTGTATATATATACATATATATACTTTCCACAAAGTTTTATTTTTGCTCAGAATAAAAAGTTAAATTGAGGTGTGAAAAGAAAAGCACTTACCTTGGTGCAATATGTGTAGCTTGACGGTCGTTGTCCCATGTGGCCTTGGCCTGGCCGTGTTTTTCCGCTCTGTCAGCCCTGTACTGTGAGGCTGTCTATAAGAAACACTATTATGCATTCTCAGCAACTGCTCAATCTATGCAAGCCTTCCCTGTGTGCCCGAGGGCGCCCCCTCAGGCTCTCTGAAGAACTGCTGCGGGTCCTGTTTTCTGCGGATTGTTGAGGCCCTTTTTCATCCCTTCTTGGTCCCTTGCCATCTTTCTCCCCTTCACCATTGCAAAGTGATGCCTGAAAGGAAGGAACAGGTTGTTCCTAAGTAGAAACCTGGTACCTTCTGGACTTTTATAGTTGTAATCATGTCCATTGTCCTTAATCTTAAAGACTTCTCCAGAGTCACTGAAACCACTGATTTGTAGAACTGCAACAATATTGCTGAAGAGTTTACAATGTTCCTGTACCACCAATCAGAAATATGTCTGAGGAAGTGGTGGTGGTAGTCGGGGAGGGGGGCGGGGGATGTGGGGGGAGGTGCCAGCACCATGAGCCATTTCCCTGCTGCTCCCTATACTGTCCATGTTGGCTCTTTAAGAAAAAGGCCTGTGGCCTTCATTAAATCCAGTAAACAAAGCTGTTAATAATCTGCTTTATCCACTTTCTTCCTTACACCTACTCCCCTCTTGTTCCTCCCCACCCCACCTCCGTGTTATCCTCAATTCTCAGGCCAACTATAGAAAAGTTTTAAAATATGCTTCAGCCAAAGCAGATTTCCATAGATCCAATATGCAAATGGTTGTTGTGACATAGATCTGAAATTGCCTGTTCCTTACTATTGGGGAGGGAAGAGGCAACAAAACTCAATTATGCATATTTCTGATTGATAGTTTAGCCTGTTTCCTCTTGCATAGTTTTGGGGGAGAAGAAAACGGTCCCTCGTTTCTTCTCATGCCCTTTGGGGAAGCTGATATGGAGAAGAAATCACTGTTGGGCATTTCTCACTGTTACTCCTTTTCAAGAGAGGGCTTCTCAGTCTGCACTGAAAATGCAAATTAAACTGGATCTTTATGTCAATGTGTACATAATAGAAGCTTTTTTACTGGAAGCAAAGTTTAAAACCACACACTGCCCTTTTGGTGGTGTGCCTGCTGGGCCAAAAATTGGGTGATAATGTAGTGTCACTTTCTCAGCTCAATGCAGTTTCTACTTTTTCTTATGGAAAAATTTTTCATGATACCTTTTTACCAAAACCCAGGGGTGTTTTCTGCAATATCCTTGTTATCCTTGTAGTGGTGCCAAGTCAGAGGCCTCTCTCATCCTTCTCCCGTGTCCTCAGGCCTTCCCAGGGGGCTATTTGACTCAACTGTCTACATCCTTTGTTGTGTTTTGGAGAATGTTGGGGGGGTGGTCAGAGTTCAAGGCACCTGTTTCCTTTCCCTGTGAACTCCTTGTCCCTGTTTGAGGAAGGTGGCTAGAAACAGGTTTTTGCTCAATCTCTGGCTCAGATCTTCTGACTAGGAAAGGCAAGACCCCTGAGAGCCTTCTTTTTTGACACATACTAGTCATTGGCCGGAGGTCTTGGTGACAACTTTTTAAATCCAAAATGGTTTTATTTGGATTATGTAAGTCTATCAAATTTACGTAAGTGTGAAACATGGGAACAACGGACTTCCACTGAGCGATATGAAAGCGTTACAGGTTCAGTACTTCCAAAGGAAGAAACCTCCAAACCCAAAAAAAGAGTAAATATGAATTTGTATTTTTGAAGAATGTGAAATAATGGTGTTTGCTTAATTGCTCATTTTGTATAAACTTAATATTGTACTTTAAAATATCTGCTAAGAAGTGAGAATTTAACTTTTTGGAATTGAAAAAGCAATATTAAATACTAATGAAATCCTAATTAAAAGCTTATTTAAATCTGGTAGTATCTGTGGCATTTCTTCCCACCCCTGCCCATGGCTGACAGTTTTCAACCACTTTCCTCCCTCCCTAGCTATCAGTCTCAGGGGACAGAAAGGAAAGGTCAGTCACCAGGAGAGTCTGCAGGCTTCCTTTTAATCAAGGCTCTGCTGAAAGTGTTTTGTGGGGCTAGGAGCCCCCAAAGCATGAAATGGACATGTAATACCACCTGGGTCTCTGAAAGCAGGCCAGACTACTCTGGCAAGTGCTGCTGGTCAGCCCAAATCCGGGTATTCAGACTGGGTATTCATTGGCTACATTTCAAAGCTCAGCACTGCCTTCAGCCAGGGTGAAGTAGGAGTGAACCCAGCTGCTAGCAGAGCTGCCACCCCAGGCTGAGAGCCAAGTACCAGCCACTGCCAGTGAAAACTGGCCCCTCTGTTGAAGAGAGTTGTTCAGAGTCCAGCCACCAGCCCCGGGGAGGGAGAGAAGTCTGGACACCCCGCTCAGAAATGGTCAGGGCTCCGCAGCTCCATCACCAGCATCCTTTGGAAAGCCACCTCTGGCGGAGACAGCTGGCTGGGGGGGCGCTCCGGATTTGGCTGAGACGTTCTGGTTGGAACAAAAAGGAAAAAAGTGAGGCTGGGAGGAAAGACCTTGGATTAGGCCCCGAAAGGACATCGTCACTTGGCATTTGGATAGCACAACTTTTTCGAAGCCTCTCGCCCAGATGAAAGGAGGTTAGGGGTCGGGACACAGCGGTGGGGACACTCTTCCACCCGCCGGGGTAAGCTAGGGCTTCAGCCCAGCCAGTCGGCAGTCCCCACCTCCCCGGCCCTGCCCGGGTGGGCACTGACCCCGCCACCAGCCGGCTCCGGGCGCCGGCGGCCCAGCTGCCGCAGCATCTCTTCACAGGCGGCGATGGTGTCCAGGAGCTGCCGCTGCCGCTGCTCCACAGCGTCCAGCAGCTGCTGGGCGCGCTCATCCCGGGGCGGCTGCGGGGGTGGCCTCCCGCCGAGCCCCAGCCCCGCCTTCCCACGGTCCACGCCGGCAGCCTCCCTGCCCGGGAGAGACAGGCGGTCAGGGCCGGCGCTTGCGTGGGGTCCGAGCCCCTTCCCCCCCGCCCCGACAGGCCCCCTCTCACCCCCGTGACCAGTCTGCGCCCGGGCCCCATTCCATCTCCGCCTGCGCGGCCCGACCACCACCCCCCTTTCGGCCGTCCCCCTCCCCAGGGCGGTGCTGAGGCTCCGCAAAGAAGCGCCCCGCCCCGTCCCCACCGGTCTCCTTCAATCCTCCTGGGGGTCGCGGTCCCTTTAAGTGGCCCGGCGCGTAGGTGGGGCTGAGCCTCCCGGACCGGAATCTGGCTGGGCGCGTCACTTCCTCCCGGAAGCGGGCTGGAGCGGATGTCTCCTGCGCATCGGTGTAGGGGGCTGAGGGCCGCGGTGGCTGCCAGCGTGGGGTTGAGCGAAGGGCCCGCGGGCTCCGCCCGGAGAGGCCGCCTCCTCCACCCGTCGAGGGCCGCTCCAGCAGCGCCGGGGGCCCGCCTGTTGCGGCTGCCGGGGAGCGGGGCTGTGCGGGCCGCAAGCCCGGAGCGAGCCGTGTGGACCGAAGCGTTGCGGGCCGCCGTGGCCGAGCTGCGCACCGGCGCCGTGGTGGCTGTCCCCACCGATACGCTATACGGCCTGGCCTGCTCGGCCAGCTGCTCGGCGGCACTGGGCACTGTGTACCGCCTCAAGGGCCGCAGCGAGACCAAGCCGCTGGCAGTATGCCTGGGCCGCGTGGCCGACGTCTACAGGTGAGGCCGCCCCGACCCGGCCCCGCTGGGGGCGGCACCGCGGGAGGGGCTTCCGGTGACAGGCACGGGAGACTGAGGCGCAGTCAGCGGGAGGGGCTTCTCCAGGCTCACCCAGGAATCCGGAACTGGAAATGTGTATCGGGCCCTGAGCGAGATGCGATGCGATGAACGAGGCAGGCAGGATCCTTATTTTCCTGGCGCTTTTATGGTAATGAAATTCCACGGTTTAAAAAAAAAAGGTAAAGGAAACAAACACGGAAGTTTAACTTAATAGGGGGTGATTTGAAGAAAATAAAACATGGAGGCTGACGGTTGTGTAACTTTCAGCTTCGGAGACTAGAAGAAGCATGTGGGCTCCAAGCCTGAGGTGCGCTTCTGCAGCCCGTCTGCTCTTAAGGGAGGTGAAGAGGGAAGACAGAGGGATCCCTCTGTAGTCTCTGGGATCCCCTTTTCCAAATCTGCCTAGAGTCTGGAATAGGACCAGCAGTGGCTTTTCATTCTTGGATGGATTTGTGCCTTCTTTGTTTCCCAGGTACTGCCATGTGAGAGTACCTGAGGGGCTCCTGAAAGATCTGTTACCAGGACCAGTGACCCTAGTAATGGAACGCTCGGAAGAGCTCAACAAGGACCTGAACCCCTTCACTCCAGTGAGTCAGGTTTCTTCTTGTGTTCCCGGACTCCTGTCGTCTGGCTTTCACTAAGGTCCAGGCCAGCTGCATCCCCCACCCTTTCCAACGTTACTGATGATCCCTTTTTCCCTTCCCCAATAGCTTGTAGGCATCCGGATTCCTGACCATGCCTTCATGCAGGACTTGGCCCAAGTGTTTGGAGGACCACTTGCTCTCACCAGTGCCAACCTCAGCTCCCAGGCCAGTTCTCTGAACATCCAGGTGAGAGTACCCAGTCCTCCCCCTGGAAATGGCAGGCCAAACACAGTTTCCTCTGAACCACTGGGGTAGATGGTTTGTTAGATTTGCCTGGCAGGAGAGTTACCCTTTAGTCTAATGGTGGGAAGTCTGCCCAGGAGGCAGGGAGGCAGGTGGGGTGAATCCAAATTAAGAATCTTAGAAAGGTTTTATTACAGTTTGAGAGGTGAGAAGAAGAAATGGAATTTTCTTCTATCTTGTAAAAGAAACATAAATATAATCTTTTTTTTTCTCCATATTTGTGGGTGAAGCAGTTGCTAATGATGAGTCTTTGTTTACAGAAGTGCTGTAAAGAAAGATAAGGCTCCAGAAAGTTAAATCACTTGTCTCAGGGACTCTTGACCCTGTTCTTTTACCTCTGCCACAAGCTAGGTCCAAGAAAGGATCATCCTAATTCTGCCTAGGTGCATATTTTAGAACTAATGAGGACAGAAAGAAATTTAACTTAACATACTTTTGTCTTCTTATTGAATTTAAATAGAAAACATAGCAAAGTGATGGGGTTTACCATGCCTAGCTCTGGAGAGTGGGGACAGGAGCGTTGGAAAGTGAGAGCCCAGAATCCCTTCTTATTCTCAGATTGCAGGTTTTGCTTGGTCCTGTTGACTCTATACCAGGCTATAGCGGGTGGAGATGCCGGTGGGGGTGGTTGTAGTGGTGTTTTTACCTTTTCAGCAAGCAGTTGGCCTATCCAGCACACTAACTAGTTATTTATGGTCCCCTATCCCAAATTCCCAGGCCTCTGCTACTGCAGTCTTCATGAGGAGGGGTTGGGGGAATGGGCAGTGCTCTTAACTCATTTAACAACTCTGTCCACAGTTCTGGAGGGAGTATCCTTCCCAGAGCCCAGGGATTCAGTGCTCATGGCTTGCATTTGCTGAATCCACCCTGTTTTCCTCTCCCTGCCCTGATCCAGAGTTCCAGAGTTAGAAGGACCCTTAGTGACCATCTAGTCCAGCTCCCTTATTTTATAGCCCTGGATAAAGTAACCTGCATGCAGTCACAGAGATTTAGTGGAAAGTCCAGGGTAGATCCCACATCTTTGGACTCCTAGGACTCCAGTCATTAAACTTACATACCTCCCCAGCCAATGCAGTGTATGGAGTTACCTCTTGACACAGCAAGATTTTCTTTAGGCTCTAGGTGGGTGCTAGGTGCTCACAGAATTCAGTGTCCTGGGTGCTAATGCAGTGTCCTTGGCACAGCTGACCTTAACTAAATGAGGTTCCTTCCCCTCCTTAGAGGACGAGGCCTCCTGTTGTAGAACCGTACAGCCTTTGTCTTACATACTCTGCATGTGGTGACATCATTGCATATGCCAGGGGTAGTACCTGTGCTCTTCCTCTCCCTCTTAGGAGTTCCAGGACCTCTGGCCTCAGTTGTCCCTGGTCATTGATGGGGGACCAATTGGGGATGGCCAGAGTCCTGAGTGTCGCCTGGGCTCAACTGTGGTTGACCTGTCTGTGCCCGGGAAGTTTGGCATCATTCGTCCAGGCTGGTGAGTCCCATTCCTGTGGCACGGGCATAGAATTTGAGGGAGGTTGGGAGATGCAGCAGAGCCATGACACAATAAAGGTTGTTGCTCCTAGCTTGCCCCACGGGGGTGGGCAGGTTTGTGGAGAGGTAGATGGAGTGAGACTAGGTTTGCTGGTGTTTGCTGGCTTTTCCAGAATTCAAAGGGATTCCTCAAGGGTTTGATGAACAAAGAGTTTATAGAGGTCTCTGATTACCAGACTGGTGGGCTCGGGACTTTGGGAATTCAAACTCCTAACTGCCCTCCATTTCCTCCCTAGTGCCCTAGAAGGCACTGCTGCCATCCTCCAACAGAAGTACGGGCTGCTCCCCTCACATGGACCCTGCTTGGGAAACTCAGGAGAAGGGAGTACTGGACGCTGTGTGTCTGTCTGCTGGTGACTGGAAGGCCTCATTTGCAGAGGCCGTGGGGCGTCAGCATCACTGTTTAAGGCATTTTTTCTTTCTGAACACTGGAGACCAGGTCCCAGAAGCTTCTGGTGGGGGAGGTTATATTTATTATCTGTAACTTCATATATCAGCAAAAAGCTGAGTAAAGACTTTAAGAACATTCCTTGGATGGCTTTGTTCTCTTAAGTTTCTTCTCTCTCTAAAAAATTTTTTGAAAAATAATTTAAACAGCAGATCTGGAATTTAGTGAGAGCCTTTTCTCTGGTAAGTCATGGCCCTAAAGGTCCAAATCAGCTAACCAGCTGGTGCTGTTTCAGTCTCAAGTGACCAAAGGCATAAGTTTGTTCTCCTGAAGCCTGGAACCAGGTTAAGATGAAGATTGAAGAGCCACAGGCCAGTTTCCTCTGAACCAGAGGGAGCTGGTGGTGTGGTGTGCTGTAATGGCCAGGCAGAGGAAGTCATCATTTTGGTTTAACTGTGGTAAGTCAGCTCAGTTGGCAAGGGGTTGGGAATTGGGGTCCAAATTAAAGAATACTGGAAAATGAATCTACCCTTTTCAGCCAGTGCTTTTTTTCTTATTTATTCATAAAGTAAATGATAATGAATTTAATACCATTACTTAAATCTAGTGTCTACTCAGCAGCCTTTATCTTTCTTTAGATGTATACCAAGTATTAAACATAATTATTGTTGGGCATTTGAACTTTGTTTTTCCTTAATAAAAAATAATGTTGCTATTAAACATCTTTGTAAATGGTTTATTTTTCTTCTTTTGAAATATTTCCTTAGGGTAGGATTACTGGATCAAAGTGTATCAGCATTTTTATGGCTCTTGATACAGATTAGCCTTGAAAAGAACAAGTAGCATTGCCATCAGCAGTCACTCTCTCTGCCCTCAGTCTTGCCATACTTTCTGTATTTTTCAAATTGTGTGTGTGTGAAATGAAGCCTCAGTGTTACTCCCTAATGTAAATCACTCAGGTCACTGTCCAGCCTTTTTACCTGTCCCTGCCTGTCTTGGTTTCCCCAACTAAGTCGCAAGCTAGGCACCAGACCTGCCCCATCCATTGGCAGGGTTTACTATTAGTTATCTCATTGGAACAGGGAGCCCTTGGGGTTACCAATAGGGCCCACTTTCTTCCCTCCCACCTTATACCCTAGTCCCCAGAATTGAGATTCGGTCTTGAGCCCACAAACCTCAATGCAGGGGTTTCTGATGCAGCACATATTTTCAAGTAGATACTAAGAATTTGCCAAGAAGGTATCCCAGGGACTGCTTTAAGGGTCACTATGATTAGCATATTAGTTTATTTGTAAATAAGCACTGATTTGTTAAATATTCCCTCTAGAAATCTTGTTGAACTACCAATCTCCTAAGCAACCTCACTGCATTGTGCTAACACTAGCCAGGCCATCGCACACGGCACTTTGTTAGAATCTGAGGGGTCAGATCCGTGAAGTCTTGAGAGCAGGAGTGCCTATTCAATACCAAATCATGTTTCATTACTGCAAATCACAGTAGCACTGAGAATGGCTCTAGTGTGTGGGCCTCATTTAGTTGAGGCAGCTAAGGGGTGGGAAATAAACTAATGCTCTCCCTGGAGTTAAATGTTCACCTGGGAAAACTGGCTCTGGAGCACAGAGGTATTTTCTTGGAGGAAAAAGAATTGAACTCCCAGCATTGGGTAAAACTGCAAAAAGAAAAAACTTAGAGCTGTGTTCAGGCACTAGCTATGAGGCCACACCATACAAGGAAAGCTGGATCCCGTAAGCTTCAGGAAGACAGGAACCATTCCTGGTCAAGTTCTCCAGCACCTAGCACTTGGGAAGGTGCTTGATTAGTATGTGTTGAATGAGTATGTGAATGCTCAGGATTATTTCCTGATTGGGTTCAGGAATCTACTGGGAATAATTTCCCTTTTAGAAAGCCTAAATATGGTTCCTTAACTTCGAGAAGACAGTGTGGGGAGGAGGCCTGAAGAGAGGATGTGGGCTGGCAGAAGGGAGCAGGGTGCATGCTAGCCCAGAACCCTGGCACCCTTCTAAAAGCAGTGACTTTGCAACTCCACACCAACCTGCCGAGTTCAAAGCTATAAAGGATTATTTTAAAGTGTTCTGACTGAGGATGTGGAGCTGTTCTGGGCTAAGTCCAGTCACTTGCCAGCCTCTAGAGTTCCCTCTCTGGAACCCTGCCTTGCCTCCTTTCACTGCAGAGTACCCCAGCACTTGCCTGACAAGCAGGCTCTGTTCCACACAGGCCCAGGCTTGACAGCCCACCAGGAAGCACACAGCTGCTGACTTGGAGATGAACAAGTACCTATAACCGCAGCTGAGCTCCATGTGTGACATCTTCCAGTGAGTCTGGAACACATCAGCACTTTGTGCCCGTTTGCAGGCTCCTCACATCAGCCACTGCTCTTTCTCTTTGATGAAGTGTTCAGCCCAGCGGCGAGTCAGCTCCAGGTATAGGCTGGGCTGATGAGGCAGGTAGTCCAAATACAGACGAGTTGGCGTCTTCTTGGGAATGGCCTTCTCGATCTGGGTGCCTTCATGCCACTCATTGAAAGAGGTGATGGAGACAATTTCGGGCCTCACTGTCAAGGCTGCCTGCAGGGCCGTCTCATAGTACTTGCCATTGACCCTGTTACGTGTATTGTGATTGTTCCAGGGCCGGATGCTGGTATCAATGTAGCCAGGCCCCACACTGGGAATGAACATGAGGTTATTGGCATCACAAAAGTTCTTCACAGCTTTCCAGTTCTGATGCGAGGAGCCAAAGGAGAAGCCATTGGAGGCAAAGTATGTGTACATGCCATCAAATCCAGCAGCGAGGATGTCGTGGGTGTGCCCCTCCTCCACCAGCAGCGCTATGAAGAGCCCATCATAGTGGGTGTTTCGGATTGAGTGGGGCCCATTTGGTGTCAGGAGGCGGGCCCAGGCCTCAGGGGATGTCAGGTATGAGTCGTAGATATAGAAGAGCGGGAGGCTCTTACCCATGCTGTTTTTATAGCGGTAAAACGCACCATGGGAGCCATACCTAAGAAGTGAGAGGAAGAAGAGTGAGCTGACAGCCTAAGATGGGAGAAACCAGCACAGCTGTAGGACCAGCCATGGATGAGATCCTTCATGATGCCCAACCACAATTTGGACCAGGCCAATCTCCATAGCTGGACTCATCTTGTGTCTAAGCAAAAACCTAGTTCCTTCCTTCCACTCCCCAGCCTCGTCATTCCTTTATTCAAGCCTCAATTCCCTGTCCTAGGCCAACCCACCACCATCTCGTCTGGATGGCATCAACAGCCACCTAACTGGTTTCGGTTCATCCTATTTCTGCCTCCCTATAATCTGTTCTCTTAAGTGGAAATCAGGTCTGATTGCTTCTTACTAAGACCCACAAGGCCCCATCTACTTGACCTGGCCCTGTCCACCTCCAGTCCTACCATTACCCCATCTGTAGCATCTATACTCTGCTACACTTGCCTTTCTATTCTGCTATCAAGCTTGTCCCATCTCAAGGCCTTTGGAACTGACAGCCCTCTGCCTGGAATTTTCTACCTGCCCCAGATCTTTGCAGAGCCAACTCTTCATTCTGGTGTTAGCCTGCATGTGATCTCCTCAGAGAGGCTCACTTGACCACCCATTTTAAAGTAGTTACTCAGGCACAATCTAACACAACACCCTGCTTTATTCTTTATTATTACTTTTTCATAGTGTGGGTCACTACTTGAGTTTTCATGTGTAAAGACTGGCTGCCCCACTGTACCCCCAATACACACTAGAATGTAAACTTTGCTAGTCCTGCCCATTACTGTATAGCTGGGGCTGAGGAGTGTTTGGACCCTGAAGGCACTCAAAAATATTTCTGAATGAATGAATGATGTGTGCAAGCACTGTACAAGCCACTTTCACATATTTTAACTCATGTAACTCACAACACTCAAAAGTTTAAAAGGCTTGCCTCTGATCACAGATTGCAGGCCACAGAACCAGAATTTGACTCCAAGCCCAGTACTCTCTTACTGTAAAATAGCTGCTGGGACACAGGCATACTGTCCTTGTGTCTCTTGACCTGTTTCTCCAAACTTCTTATCCCTACCCACAGTTTGATCCCAACCAAAATCCAGGCCCCAGAGCAGCCTTACGTGTCAATAATGTACTTGATGTTGTCATGCAGAGTGATGTCATCCCGGCCCTTGTAGGGTTGGATGTGGAAGGCCACCTATACCACAAAGGAGATACTGGTCAGGTGAGTATCTGTCCAGAGGCTACAACCTATAAAGCTCATGCTTCAACAATGGCCCAGAGGAGAGAGCATGGCAAGGGTGGACACCATTGAGATAAATGTAGCCACTGCCCTTAGGACCAGGAAATGAGGGGCTTGGAGTTTGCCCACCTCCCATAGCAGGACATCTGGGAATCATTCTGATGGGTTATTGCAGGTGGGCCAATAGGTCCCAGCTTCTGTGCCAGCTCCAAGTTATTGGCACCAGCAGCCTGAAACTGGGAAGAAGTATATGAAAGCTGTGTTTCTGGGAAAATGTGTTATGATCTGCTAAGTGTGTTGGTGATGGGCTCAGGAGTGGGAGTGGGGATCCTCTGCACCATTTTTCTTCCTTTGCTACAGGAAAGAGGAATGGCTTATTTGGTTCATTTAGGGAAAATAACTGGACATGCTTAGGTCAGTTCTGTCATTCCTCTTGAAAGCAAGCCTACCTGTTGAAAACATGTGTTGTTTTCTACTCCTTGAAGCCCAACACTGACTTCCACTAGGGGACTAAGGCTGGAATTCAGTCTGTGGGCCCATTCGGCCCTTGCCTGCCCTTTATCCAAGGTCATCGAGTCTCCAACCTAAACTCTACCATTGTGGTATTTACTTAGTCTCCCATTTCTCTTATGCCTAGTTTCCCCCCCTCCTTTTTTTTCAGAATTCAAGAAAATAGGAGTGACATAGGTACTATGTAGAACCCTACACCCTACACCACACTGACTACATGTTTGGCATACCTGGGCCAAGAACTTTGGTAGAGGCACTATCCGTGTGTGCAGAGTAGGAGAAATCTCCAGAATGGACCAGAGAACACTTGATCTCTTCTTGGATACTCACCTGGATGCTGTACTGATGGGCGGTGTCCAGAATGGCACGCACCAGGTCATCTGAGGGTTCTCCATTATCATCAGCCATGCCAGGTGGGTACCAGGACAGGACCAGGACACCTGAGACACAACACAGACGTTACTTCAGAGACATAACACCCCCGCAACAGAGATTTGTTTCCTTACAAACTATCTCCAGCTGAAAAATGGTTTTTTGACTGAAACCTTGAGGGAGGCTTCTGCCAGGTTCACACTTCCTGCAGGTCGGATCCCAGAGCATGGCGCCCTGGAACTGTCCATGGCTGCGGTGCTGAAGCGTAGCGCACTACTCCGGGAAGGAGCCTAAGAAAAGCCTGGATAGTAGCCGGGCTCTCATAGCAATAGCTAGTAGAACAAAGGGAAATGGGTGGGCAATGCCACACCCACCTGGAAGCCACAGCACTCTCTGGAGGAGAGGAGCACCTCTGCGATCCCTCAAGAAGAGCTCTGAGCAGAGGGCTCCTGTGGGAAGAAACATTAATCTCAACTGTCTGCTCCCCTAGACTGTAAAATCCTGTGGGATGATCTGTGTTATCTTTCTGTGAATATCTCCCATTGCCTCCGGCATTCAAACTCCCCTCCCCCACTCATTAACCATTTTCAGATAAACTGAAATGTGCTATAAAACCCAGCATAATTTAGTGATAAAATTTGAAACAAGTGAGCCTCCTCACCCCAGTCTGCCTACAAAGATGTCTCTCAGGCAAGCACTTTTCAAGCAAGCACTTGACGAAATACTCTTGGGCTCTCTGCTACAAACAGAGGCAGAGTCCGTCCTGCAACGTGGGCAAACTTTGTTTTTTGCAGCCAGCAAAAGCAAGGGCTGCTGCTCTACCCTATACCTAGTGTGAAAGCAGAGGCCATCCCAGGCTCTACTCCTCTGAACTTGGGGCGCCAGGATACCCAAGCCTCACTTCCCCAAATCTGAAAGTCCAAAGGACATACAGACTCTCCGTCCTCTCGCTATTCATCTCTGGGACAGCTCTGGCGCAATCGCCTTCCACTGGCTCTCGCAGCAGCGCCGCTCTATGAAAGGGCTCTGGAACTGCGGGGGTCAGAAGTTAGACGTGGGGGAGTCCGAATACTAGAAGGTGGGGGCGGTGCCTCGTTGTGGACGCAGAATGAGAGTAGAAGGGAAGGAATAAGAAGCCTGGCTGAAGGGTTGAGTGGGACCAAAGGCCCGGTGACAGGACCAGAGGGAGTTGGGGTGTGGGAACGAAGAAGGGCGAAACTGGGGTCAGGGTCGCCCAGGGGTTAGGGAACTCACCGATGGCAGCTTCCTTCAGCTGGGTCATGTGCTCCCTGAGCACTTCGGGGTCCCGGGAGCTGTAGGGTCCCAGTTCCGGGTAGAAGCTGGAACCCAAGTCGTCGGGGGGACTATGGCGGCCGCGGGGGTAGCTGGCCGAGATCTTGGGGTCCCAGTGCGGCACCATGACATGGTCCCAGTGAATGTAGTGGCCCTCGCGCCGCGGGCTCCCGTACCACGAGTAGTAGAAAGCGTGCAGGTCCGAGTAGACGCGCAGACTCTGCCTGGGGGCGGGCTCGGCCTCCGCGGGAGCCGGCCTCGGGGAGCTGGCCGGGCCCGCGGTGCCAGGCGGCGGCGGCGGCGGGGGCGGCGCGGCGGGGGCTGCCGGAGCCCGGACGGCGGGCGCGGGACCCCCCTCCGGTCGTCGCTCAAAGGGCGCCAGCTCCAGGCCCGGGCCCAGCGCCGGGAGTCCGTCAGGAGCCTTTAACGTGCGCAGGCCCATTAGGGTGCCGAAGGCGAAGAGCAGCACAAGGAACAGCGCGATGCAGGCGCGGCGGCGCCGCCGGGCCATGGCGGCTCCAGCGCTCCTCGCTTCCCGCCCGGCTACCTCCCAGCCAGCCGCGCCATGGCTGCCCGCCCGGCTGCCGCGCTTCGCCCAGCCAGCGCGCGTCCCACGGAGACAGCGACGCCGAGAGCCTTGTGGGCGGTTCCCGGCTTCTCCCCCGCAGTGCGGGCGGGCCCGGCACACAGACAATGCAGGCGGCGCAGACCAAGTGGTCAAGAGCCGAGGGGGGAGTGGACCCGGGAAGTGTTCTCTGCTCCCACGCCCTCCAGCGCCGCCGCCAGAACTCTTCTCCTTGGCCCTGGAAGGAAGGCATTCCCTTTCCCCCACCCGGCGCCCACACCCGGCCGCCCCAGAACCACAAATCCTCCGCTGGCCACGCGGCTTGACTTAGTAGGCCCGGCTCCTCTGGTCGGGGAACTCGCAGATCCGCCACTCTTGGTGGGGAAGAAAGCAAATATCTATGGTTGTCTCTCTCGAAGAATCTCCTTCCCACTGATCCCTCTTTACTGACTACCCGACACCCCCCTACTGATCTCAGTGACCTTTCGTATTTGTCTCAGGTCCCCCACCAAGCGGATCCATCCTCACACACCCCTGGGCAGCCTCTGGAGCCCGGGGTAAGGGGCGTCGGGAAAACCCCAGGAGTCAGATACTACCGGCCCTGGCTAGAGATGCAAAGATGAGGGGGTCCGTGACTTTCACTAGGTCACACGGACCGGGCCTAAACCCAAGGGTCAGGACTGGCTCGACAGAGCTCTTGTTACTGTCCAGATTTCCTGGTGTAAGGCCTGCTGTCATCCGGAACCGTCTGTTCTCGGACAACCTCCTAGAATCGGTGAATACGAAATGAGATGGTTACCATAAAGCACTTATTACAAGGTCTGACAAAATTAGCAATCAATACCTATTCACTATTCTTTCTGGCCTCTGAGCACAAGAGGGCAGGCTCCAGGTCATATTTACCTTTTTAGATTTCAAGGACTGTGAGAACAGGATATGATACTCAGTTTCCAGGGCTGTTTGTTGAGTAAATACTAGACTCTGGTGTGATATATTAGACAATTTTTTTTTTGCTTGGCATTGAGTTCTACTCTGCATTATTTCATTCATTCAGAAAATAGTTTTGTTTATCGTCTGCCTCCTTCACTTGTCCATGATGACAGAAACTTTTATCAACTACTCTCTCTGCAGTCTAAAACAGAGCTTGGCATAATTGTAGGCACCCTGATTCTTATTTCTTAGAAAAAGAATTGTAGGAAACCCAGAAAGAGGAGGAGCAAGGTTGGGAAATGTGGATAGGTTTGGAGTTTAGGAAAGTGAGTTTGAGAGAATTTGTGGTTGTAAGTGTGAATTAAGTAGAATGATTTCAGCTCCAAGTAGCAGATACCTGATTCAAACTAGCTTATGTAATATGGAAACATATCCCATAACACAGTTAAATCCAATGGGAGGGCAGAGTGGGTAGGTTCTCTGGTTCAACAATGTCATTAGGAATCTGAGATACTTCCATCTCACTGCTCTGCTGTCCCCACCATTGACTTTATACCAAAGCTGGCTCCCCTCATATCACAAAATGACTGCCATGGGCGGTTGAGGCTGAATGCTTCTTTTTGTCATCTAACAGGCAACTGCAAAACTAATTTCTCTTTCCCAGAAGTCTAAGCATGCATCCCCTTGAATCTCATTGGTCTAATCTGGTTTAGATTTATCAAACAAATTATTGCCAATGGGGAAGGAATTACCATGACTGGATTAGATTAAATTTTTGGAGTGGATTAACTGTTGAGGAGAAGACTGTAATGTCTGGCACAGAATTAGATGGCTCTGGGAATGAGTAAGAATGAGATGAGAAAATGAACAAGGATGGAATTTTCAGAAACACTAGCATTTATAGGTTGTGACACATGGCTTCAAAGGTGTTGCTACACCCACTCTATCAGTTTGAATATGTTCAGCTGCAAATTATAAGGGAAATAGCTAAATATGACTTAAAGCAGTGCTTTTAAAACTCTAATGAGCCAATCAGTCCCTTGAATATTTTATTAGAATGCAGATTCTGATTCATCAGGTGTGAGGCCTGAGATTCTGTATTTCTAATAAGATCTCAGGTGATGCTGAGTATAATAGATTTTATCCCACATTTTGAGGAGTCTTTAGGTAAACTGGCTTTAGGGATGGTTAATCCGGAGGCTCAAAGACATTAGGGCATCAGATCATCTTGTCTGTGGCTTCTCTGGCCTCCTCTTATGGTTGAAAAAGGATGCAAGCAGTTTCAAGCATTACATTCTCACATGATAATATCCAGATGCAGAAGAATAAAATAGGTGTCCTGTAACCCTTTTAAAAAGTAAGATAAACTCTTCAAGAAGTTCTCAGATGAGTTTCCATCACTTCTCATTGGCCAGAATTCTGTCGTATGCCCATGATTAAACCAATCCCTTGACAAGGCCATTCAGAGAAGGGTGAATGAATGAAAAAGGAGGGAGGAAATGGGGGTTGATCAAAGAGCCAAGAATGTCTCCCATGTCTGCTCAGAATCTATTCTGCACTTCTTCCTCACAGAACTTGGACTATGTTGAGAAAGCTGCCCTCCCCGCTATAGCAGGAGATGGCAGATTTATTCTGTGGAAGAGTAGAACAAGAGATCCTCCAGACTCAGGGACACCTGTCAAGTTGAAATCCAGGGGAATAAGTAAAAGTATGCATAATAAGTGATAATAAATTCAGTCCCTAGAAAGCTTCCTTCCAAGAAGAAGTCTGAGTGACTCTTCTCCAGAGAAAAAGAAAGACCCTTAAGAAAAATCCTGCACATACTGAAAACCCAGCTCACTGCCTGATCAATCTAGAGTGAAATTTATAAATCAGCAAATTCTGCCCCTTGCTTCAGATCTTTCAGCTCTCTAATACCTCACTCTAAATCTGAATAACCAGCTAATGATTTCCAGACACTTAGTGAAATCCTCTTGTGTGAAAGGCAGAAATTAAAAATAAGCAAACAAACTAAAAAGAAAGACAGGGGAGAAGTAAGAAAGAAAGGGTAATAGAGTAAGAGCAAGAGCAACTAGATTGGAGGAAACAGAAATGATGAAGCTAGCTAAATAAAACAGGAAAATACTGTTATCTAATGTCCCAGAGAATTTGCATGCATGAAACAAGACATTATGCTCTATAAAAGGGGCAACATTGATCAGAGAGAAGGAAAGAACTCTTGGAAATTAAAAATAAGAGCCAAAATTTAAATTTTTAATAGAAAGTTTGGAAGATAAAGGCAAAGACTCTATCAGAAAATAGACAAAGAAAATCCTAAAGATGGAATTTGGAAGGAAAATGAGAAAATTAGAGATCAGTTATGGAGTTCAATGTCTAACTAAAACAAATTCCACAAGGAAAATATAGATAACACTGAGAGGAGAAATTATCAAGGAAGCTATACAAAAGAATTTTCCAGAACCTGACTTTTTGGATTGCAATAGCTATCCAAGTGAGCAATGAATGAAAGAAATACACATAGGACAGATCATTAGGAAATTTAAGGATATTGAAAACAAAGAGAAGATCCAAAAACTTTTGGGAAAAGAGAAGTCATGTACCAAGGATTTGGAATTAGAATGGCCCTAGAAGCCAGAAGACAGTGGAGAATTGCCTCCAAAATTCTGAAGGAAAATAATTTTAAATCTAGAATTCTATAACCAGTTTAAAAGATGTGGGGAGAGAATACAGACATTTTTAGGTATACTAAGCCTCAATTTTTTTCTCTTATGCCCTTTTTCTCAGAAAGCCACCAAAGGATATAAAGGGGTAAATTAAAAAGTTGAGGGGAAATTTGGAATCTGATATAAAGGAAATCTAACACAGAAGAAAAGCTCTGGGGAGCTCCAGAATGACAGCTGTGCAAATCCAAAGAGCAGTCAGCCCTTACAGGAGCAGGAAGACACGCCAGGATGGGTATCTCCAGGAATGACTAAAACTGATAGATATCCTGATCCCCCTCCCAATTCTTCTCTTTCATGCCCCTATGTGGCTGTATCATACTTTAAGTAAAATCACTAGTGGATACATTATACTCTATAATATTTTCCACCATTGAGTCATGTGTGAGCTATAATTACACTTTTTGTATATTGTATACAATTTTTGTTTCTCCTGGGGTTAGTAATTCCCTTTTTTCTCCATTTGATTTGTTTGCTGTACTTTTATTACTTGTTTTTCCTAAACTCTCCAACACAACTATAAAACTCCTTTGAATACTGTTTTCTACACAATTCCCATTGTTAGGATGTCTAAACAGACAATGAATAAAATGGAGTGGTCAGCTGATGGTAAGTGTTAGAGAAAAGCAAAGCAGGAGTAGGGGAGAGGGAGTGCCAGGATGGGAAAGTGTTGTGATTTTGAGTAGGTTGGTCAGGGCAAACCTCCCTGTGAGGGTGACCCCAGGGGAGGGAGAAAGGAAATCTGAAGGGAGGGAGGGAGGAAGGAAGACAATTGTAGGAAAAGCGTTTCAGGCAGAGGAAACAGCAAGCTCACAGTCCTGGAGACAGGAACATGCTTGGTATGTTCATCATGAATCTACAAAAGTTTTCTCTTGCATGTTTTACTGTCAGCTCTCCTCCCCACCTGCCCATCAAAGGGTACCCCAATCTCTCAGGACCCATTATGCAACTCATTATTGATATATATTTTTTATTCCCAGTATCCAAATGGTGACCAAGTCACATGCACACCATTTGCAAAACTATTTTAATTCCTGCTCTTTGCTTTTATTCCCACTGTCATCATATCAATCCTATAATGATAAAAATCATAGAACATTATGACTATAAGGACCCTTAGAGACCATTTAATATAACTCTATCTTACTGAGGCTCAAATTAAGTTACTTCGCTGAGAACTCAGCCAGGTCTATTGAAGTACCAGACAAAGCTTGCTTATACCACACCTGAGTCTGTCATTTGCCCTAATCCAATTCATTTTGTCTGCTGCTCACAAAAGAGTGCTCCTTAAACACTCCCTCTTTCCTCCCCAACAATCCTACAGTACTACTATGTGGTTTCTCCTGGCAGTGTTTTCCTCAGTTGCCAATCTGATGTGATTTCCCGCATCTAAAGAGAGAACAATATTCAAGTTATACCAGCCTACACATGGAATAAAGGTATTCCTCAAACATACCATGCTAATTTCTGCCTGTAAGTCTGCCTTTCAATCCTTCTCTTTACTGTAATAGCTATTCTTTTTCATTCCTGTTCAAATTCCACCTAGCCTTCAATACCTTTTCCAGATATGGTTTCTCTGTCCAATGGAATGGAGCAGAAGCCATGTTTTAGGATACTTG